TGACGATCCAGGGCTTCCGAGCGCGTTTAGGCCGAAACTCTCGAGCGTACAGCGGCTGCGTAGCTGCCTGACGATGGAGGCACGACTACACCACCCGACCCACAACAGTCGTGCCGCCTTCGACACCACGACTCCCCCACACCGGGTCGCTAGGGAAAATCAGTGCAACAGCTGGTTTTGATATGGTAGTATACAGTGATAACGAGTACCGGCACTCTAACGAGAGTACTTTACACGAAACTTTGCTACAGAGGTCCGGACGAGGTCGACACGAGAACGATCAAATGAATTTGTAATAAAAAGAGGAAGAATTTGCTCGATACGACGCCAGTAATCTAAGAAGGCGTGCGACTTCCACCGCCCTTGCACGGCAACAACGTCCGGCGGTGTGCCGCGAAGCAATAGTTCAGTTGCTCCACCGATCCGGAACGAATGCCCAGTCATAGAGCACAAACCGGCCGACGTCCAGATAGTGTTGCAACGGTCGAGGAACCAAGGTCGTGTCATAGGGGCCCAATTGCCACCATCAGTTTTGAAAGCGAAGAACGGGGCAGACGACGGAACAGAAGCGTTTGCGGAAAGGTGATGACGAAGAGCAATAAGCGGGTTTGTAGGGTCTGCGATGTCAGAAATCACGATATTGGCGCCGTCTGAATGTGTAGTTTTCGTCCACGGTATATGTAGAGTCGCGTAACGAGATCCGCCAGGCAGAGAGCGAAGATTGAGTTGCTGTCCCCTAGAAACGTGTCGCCTAGGATCGAATGAGGTGGCACTGGGTACGACGACCTCACCAAGACGACAGATGCTCCAAAAAGCCATACATGCGCAGGCGTAAACCGCTGCATCGAAGGTATTTGAAAGGTCCAAGCCGTTGCGCAATGCGTGCATGTGTTCAAGTGTGACAGGAGGTCGTTTGGGGCGGTGAGAAGCTGCTGGTACAGACTTACTGATAGCTTTACACGCTGCCTTCAACATGTCGCCTCCGAGCCAAGGTGCACCGTGAATCGTATGCCAGAACCGAAGGCCTGCCAGCCATGTGTCGACAGTGGAACGTGCAGTGCGGCCTTGCCACTTGGCGAGAAAAGCTGCGAGGAGGTACTCAGGCGCGGGCATGCGAGTCGATTCGGGTATATGCAGAGAGTCGCAAAATTGATTGAAACGTAGTAATCCGGCACCGTAGTTGGATCGAGTTTTTCGTTCAACGGAAGACAACAGACAACTGAAGAGAGTGGACGAATGCTTTGATGACAGAGACGATGCGAATCGAGATTGTTGCGTGATACTAAACGGAGTGCGCCAGAGAACAAGACGTTGGGCGGCAGGAACGTCGGGACGAAGCGGTGAAGGAGTGATGTAACAACCTGATTTAGGCTTCCGGGCCTGTTTCGAAATTCGCGATGTCGAGGTACGCGGTTGAGGGTCAGTCCGCCGAGTGGCTAATTCACCGAACGGATCCTCACCTCGCATCGTCGCACCTGCACGTGCAGGCGCCGAGCACGAAGTTGTACTAGGCATTAACCAGGAACGGTCGCAGCTCTGCTGGGAGCTCGAATGGTTTCGGCAAACGAGACAGCTTGGCGTCCGGTACACCGCGAGAGACCGGGTCAGCCAGATTGTCTTTGGTATTAACATATGAGGGCACAAAAACGAGATTCGAGGCCATAGCGATGATGTCCACGCGACGGATAGACTCATTGGTGTGCCGATTACGACCACGGCCGCGTTTGTATGCATCAATAACACCGGTGTTGTCACCCCGAACGAGAATAGCTGCGTCCTGGTAGCCGAGGCCGTCGACCACGCGGACTGCAAACTCGAGCGCGATCATTTCGGCCCACCCGATGTCACGCCCGTCTCTCTTCCAACCAGGGATCCAGCGCCAGGCCGCCCAGCTCGAGCCCATGACAAGGCCAACGCCCCAGTCGGTAGACGCGTCGACCCAGATACCCAGATCTCGGGGCTCACCCCGAGGGCGTAGCGACCGAGCTGGAGATGGCGACGCCAGCACGAATAGCCACCAACGCATGTCGGACATGACGGAGTGCGGAGGGTACCGCGTAGCGAAGCGGTTAGGGAAAGACGATATGAATGCGCATAGGTTCGGCAGATAGGCCCGGCCATGCGGAAAAACGAAGGTGATATGCGATAACGTGCCATTGATACTCATGGATTCACGCTGGGTTACGCGGCCGCGTTCAGCACCTGCAACGAAGGACTGCAATTTTGTGAGATATTTGATACGCTTCACTTCGGGAAGAGACACGGAACGCTCGGGCAAATCCCACGAAAAACCGAAATAAACGCGTATGAACCCATAGTCGCACAGCTTCTCCTCGGTATGCCACGGGACACCGAGAGGGGCGGTGATGCGCAAGACGGTTTTCAAATCGTATGGGTAAGAGTAGGGCACCAGAACCCCGTTGACCCAGCCACCACTGGATGGAAAACGAAATGAAAAGAAATCGTCGACCCACTTCCCAGTGGGCTTAACACCTTCACAAGCGAGGATGTCTATGACAGCGTCGGCGGGCTCGCCCTGCACCCCAGTAGCAGAAGATATGCCAAACGGTAAACAATGATCGATGTAGAATGCATCGTTATGTTTCACGACGATGAAACGCTTGTGCGGTGGCCACACAGGAGACGCACGGAAAGCGGCCTTAATATCCAGCGTCGCAGCCTGCGCACCTTCGGGTGCAGTGGCGACCTACGAGGCACGAGGACGACATCAGCACGGGCCAAACGGATAGCGCGTGCGTGACGACAACCGGGAAAAACAATCAAGGCCCGTTTAATGACGCGCATGCCAGGGTTCGCCCATGGCACGTAAGAGCATGTATGTGCCGAAACGACAGCACTACGAACGAGTGGACGACGCGGATATGCTCTCCGAAACGGACGTACGAATATTCCCCGAAGAATGAGCGAGCGGAACGCCGCCCCGGATAACGACGTGGGGATAACGCGTAAACGAGAGGAACGTGACGGGTACGAGTGCGGGTGCAGTGCACAGCTGCACTGAAGAAGCGAACGAGGAAAAAAGAAGGAACACTTACGATTTCTGCGATCTGGGCAGCCGTAGCCCAGCTAGTCTGAAACTCGTCTGGATCGATCTGATCGTTGACCGATACGCCGGTCTCGTCCTTGAAGGACAGGTTCCGCACAACGCGGAACTTCCCCGGGGAGCCGGCCTTCTCGACGACGGCGAGCGGCGAAGAACGAAAACAAGCGCCGAGATGGTCCTCAACTTCGGCTTGCGAGAATGGTCCAGAAAACCGACCAGCGTCGAGTTCTTCTTGGACATATGCGTCGATAACGAGGGGGTGTTGCAGTGCGGAACGGTGATTATCTGGTGTGAAGGATCGAAGTAGAGGCGCGAAGTCGCCAATGGGAAAACCGTAACGTATCTTATGCGGTAAGAACGGGTATCGCTCAAGGATATTGTGGCGCTGAAGAATGGCTTCGAAAGCGTCGGCGTTGTAGGGTGTTACGATGCGATTACGAACGCAGACAGCTTGAGGAGCCGGCGTGGTGCTCTTGGGAACCGCAGAAAGAACAGCGGTGAGGGGTTCCTTTGGGGCAACGACGAGAGCAGGTGCCGGTGAGGTTCCATATGATGCACAATTCTTGGCGACTAGCGTCGATGAGCAGCCGCCTGTCGATGAAGACGCTGATGATCGCGCGGCCATCACGGATGGTCGTTTGCGAGCATGCGGAAGCGCGGTGTCCAGTCCTCGCACATAAGAGGCAAAGCGACTCTGAGGACGCGAGTCGTTTGCCCTCGCGAAAGGGCTTGGAGCGCTCGGGCGCACGTTCACCTCCGTTACGAGTGCGTTCCTCGCTACGAGGATATGGGCGAAACCGGTTAGAGGAGTCACGCGTGCCATATGGCTCCGCGCTGTAGCCTTCTCGCATCATCTCCACCTGGATCTTCTCCAGGCGGTTTTGGTACTTTGCATCCTCGGGAGAGAAGGTTGAGGGCTCGTTCATCCACGTTCGACGCACCTCACAGTCGAACCGAAGGATGGCTTTGTAATCCCTGTAAAAGTGCGGCAGAGATGTGATGTAGTCATAATGAATCTGGAAAAGCTCAACAATCTCCCTGTCTGCGAGCTTCCGATAGACTTTCAGCATGTTCTTCCAAGCCTCCGTGAATAACCCTACAGGAAGGGACTCTTCCTCGGGCCATCCGGCGAGGTCAATGATATCGACACGCGAGCCAGAATTCGTGGTCAGCTTCCGCGTCCGGACAGAGGTCGGGTCTAGATGCATTCTCCGAATAGCGTCTGAAGTGACCAGCGTTAAAGGGATGTGGATCTGCGCTGATGCAAGCTTGAGAACGGCCGGGGGAATCTCGAAACCTTGGTCCTTAAACAGGTTGGAGGAGCGCAGACACGCCACCGAAAAGAGCTTCTTCTCGGGTGTACCTGCCTGTTCAGATGCGTTGACGACCTCCTTGACGGCTGTATGCGCCTCTTTAGGGCCTGTATGCGCCTCTTTAGGGCCTGTATGCGCCTCTTTAGTGCCTATATGCGCCTCTTTACCGGGTGTATGCGTGTCCGTGAGCACCTGGAAAGCCTTCATAAATGCCACCTTCGAGGACGGAGACATGCCGCGTATAGCTGCCGCAAGTGGAGTCGCGTCGGCTAGTATGGTTGCAGGGGTCTTAAGAGTCTCCCCGGTCTCCTCATCGTCAGCGGGAATTTCGTTTCCGTCGAGATCAAGGAATAACTCATCGTCCGAGACAGCTTCGTCGCCTCCATCGCGTTGGTCTAACCTAGCGGTGTTGCGCGCAGCGCGCTCTTCGTTCTCTCGCTCGATGGCTTCCGCTGGGGCGCCTTGCCAGGAGCTGCGCGAAGCATCGCCACGGCGGGCTAGCTCGTCGAGTTCCCTCACCATGTCTTGAGTGGACTTCCCAGAAATGCCGGGAGGCTGAGATCCTTTAGGCATGGTGGCCGTATAAGATGGATATGTACAACCGAGCTACGAGAAGAAGAATCCGCTACACAGCGTGGTAGCGAATGTCGTGGCGATGAGGAAGAGGCGTAGCGCGCGTACGTCAGGTGAGCGCGTCTCTTCTTCTCCCGCTTGCTTAGTAAGCAAGCGTTCGTCCCAGTGCTCGTTTCTCGGCACTGGGACTGAACTTCACATGTCCTCTACTACCGCCACTGCTCGCCTTCTCTGCGCATTCACGCCTTATGGAACTTCTCGCGCCATTGCGTCCAACTCCAAGCTCACGCTTTTGAGAGGAATACACGATGCTGCCCACGCAACTCGACGCTGTCCGACCCTGGTCGTGCACCGAGCACCAGCACCACCACGAGCACGCATACAGAGACGAACGTTCTCCGTCTCGCGGACGACTCTAGCGGCGCTCGCACAGCGCCCGCCCGCACATCATACTGTCCTACTTGCGTATCCATCTCCCAGCGCCCTGCATGAGGAGGCAGAGGAAGAGGAGGCGGACGAGCCCGAGGTGGACTTTGTCCCGCCAGAGGAGGCAAAGATCGAGATTACCGACCGGGCGGCGGAGGTACCGTGTCTCCAGAACCCTACATTGTCTGTTCCATGTTGGCTGACTTGTACGTGCGCCAGCAACTCCGTGCGGTCGCACAGCGGCAGGGAAACCCGGACGTTGCGCTGCGGATATCGGTCGAGAGCGGCGGGTGTCATGGGTATCAGTACAAGATGGATCTCGCAAAGAGCAGAGAATTGGATGATTAGTGCGTCGCTGCCGTGTATTCTCCATTTTCTCTTCCTCGACCCGTATTGAAGTATTGGTCACTGACTGTTCCTTTCGTACAGCGTGTTCACCCATCCGACCATCAGGCCGTCCAACATCGTCGTCGACGCGGTCTCGATGGCGCTCCTGAAGGGCTCCATGGTCGACTTTGCGACCGAGCTGATCGGGAGCAGCTTCCGCATAATGGACAATCCTCAGGTGCGTGCATTCGTTATGCATGCGGATGGCAGCTGATGCAGTGCGGTATGTAGGCGAAGGGGGGAAGTTGTGGATGTGGAGTTAGCTGGGAGCTGAAGGTATAGTTGATGCGCTTGTCTCTGCCGTATCGTGGGCGGAGGGAGATGGGAATATCAGGCGAGAATGATCGCGTTTATTGGTATATAATGTATGTGTTCTCAATTCTTAGATACTGATCGTCCTCAGGTATAGACTTCTGTGCATCTTCCCGCAGTTAGCAAGAGCATTCAGTCTTGTCCACCATGTTTCCTAGGCACATTTTCACCTGTCAGTGTACACTACCGGATAAAGAGCGGGTGTTATTTTTCGATGAGGCATTGGATCATCCGTCCGTGATCTCCATTACTCTGTCAACAAAACTTCCCCTCAGCCCGTCTATCAACAACACTTGTTCCGTAGACGACACAAATATATGTAAGACCCGATGTGCGCTCGCATGTTCGCTCTGTGGTGCAGTTTCTCTCATAAACTCTCGTTCGTTTCGCCGCACAACAAACGAACATCCACATACTCTATGTATAGGCCATCCTACGTCATCTTTTCGTTCCCACGCAGTGTGCTTCCGCCGTCGCACAGAACAAGCTATGGCTTTGTCTGTGCACGCGACTGAGCTAAAAAATGTGAGTGTTCTGGACATCTTTTCTATGCAATCAGACTTCCTCACGCGGGCAGCGCTCTACCTTGTCTCACTTCTGCCGAGAATCCGAAGTTAGAGTAGAGCTAACCTGACGCCTTCTTGGACTCGGGGTTGGTTGCGGTCTAACCTTGTTTGGCTGGGCTCTTTTTCCTGAACAAATGAACGCGGAGGTCAGGCGGACGGACAAGGACCTGAATTTCCTCTAGTCTGATGCTCGTGATCAGGCACAGCGGCCGCGCCGGGGGGGTGTATGATCTGGACAGCTTAGAACGCATGTGGGGTGCTTGATATCCGACTTTACGGCCCCTACTTATCGGGATGCGCGTGGGCCAACGAAATTATCACCTACGAATCTGAATCGGGCGCGTTGGGCGTACGAGCAGCTCGGACGGAGTACTGCGCATAGAGAGGAGAGGAGTTGCGAACGCGTAGGGAGCAGGTATCGTGACGTCAATTTCAAAAGAGGCTTAGAACTTTTGGTGGTGATGTCCGACAATCAAGGCCTCCGAGGCCGATCGGTCCCTCGCAGCAAGACGCGGAGAGACGCGAACAAGGACGCTCACACCGATGCTGGATGAAAGAGAAAAAGAAATCAGTCATATCAGAGGTTTTCGACGCTGCACAGCAATCGCTGGTCACTTACGCATACGGTTGGACAAGAACAGCGATCGAATTCAGGGTCGGCTTCGGAGGACGTAGAGAAGGACATGAGCCGTGCGGCGATCATCCAAAGAAGGCTATCTAGGATAATCTCGTCGCCCTCCGAGCCGCTGCAATTGGAGAGGAGAGCCGCGGCCGGAATACTCGCCGTGACCGCGGTGGCGCACTAGCATTGCGCTTGATAACTGCGCCATCATGGCGGCTAGGGCAGGCGGCTGCTGGTCGCAAAGCGGTGGTGCGTTTTGCGTGCGGCCTCGGGTAGCGAAGAGTGTCCCGTCGGTGGAATAAGCGAGATGTCAAGCTGAATGACGGGCAGGCGAGGGTGCTGAAAGCGCGCGGAGTCGTGGGGACCGGCGGGCAAGGACACTTTTGGAAACGAATATTCTAAGGAAGAGGTTGGGGACCCTGATCACTTGGATTTTAATTCAGACAAAAAAGCACTCTCGGCGGGCACTGTATTGTCAAGAATAGGCTTTCGCCGGGGCTCCCTTATTCCGAATCATCTTGTTGTGCATTTCGAGATCGTGGGTATCCTCCTTTGTCTATAACAATTGGGCTCAAGACACAATCTCCTTTTTTTCGCTTGGAGGATTGGAAAGGAAACGCATTTACTCAAAAGGACCTGAGGTTAACCCGGACGGCTCGGAAGTTTTTTTTCCAAATCAAGACGGATAGCCTTCCGGGTTTTTGTGAAGGGCGGATCAGAGTTGCTCAGTGAGAATCGGGGTCCCTCGAAGCTAGCCCTAGCTGGACATCCCACTCGAACCCGGCAAAACATAGAGGATGTCTGGTTGCACATACGCCTTTGCCCAGGCACTTCGCAGCGCTCGTTATCTTGGACACAGAGGGCACTCTGTATGAAACTTTGGAAATACGACGTGCTCGGTGCTGTACAGTTGATGCCTCTGTGGGATGTCCATCATCAAAGAGATGATGGCGTGAGGTGATGAGCGCCGTGGATGAGGAGTTTTCGTCCGCGCTTTGAGAGGCCCGGGCGGAGGTATGCGTGGGCGAGGAGAATGCGTGCATGCGAGTAGAATGGGTGGGTGGGCAACAGAACGAGTGCCTCGCGGTGTTAAGAAGCTGGTGCGGAAGTGGCTGAAAAGGGAGAATGATGGCAAGAGGATTCTTGGTTGGACCTGACAGGAAATTCGCAGGAACATCTTGTTGATCTGTCGGCAACCGAGAGAGCGTGCGCTGCGCGGGCTATGAATGGCTCTTCCCGTCCAGGAGATATAAGTCCGCCCGCCCTCCCACCCGCTTATTTCTGCTTTTCCCTCCCCGACCACCACTTTCTCCATCAACGTACTCTACCTCCTCCTCCTCCTCCCCTTCCTTCCCGTAAATCCACATAATGTCCCGGCACGTCTCCGCTCTCGCCCTCGCCTCCGACATACCCCTCTCTCCGCTCTCCGACCACAGCCTTCCGTGGGACGCCCATCTGCAGCCGACCGGTCTGCTCTACTCCCCCACCCCCAAGCACGGCTCCGGTTTCGACGCAGCGCAAGCCCACTCGTTCGTCGGCCTCTACCCGTACCACCTCCCACCCTCGCCCCCGCGCTCGATTCCCAGTCCGGGCGAGCGCTCGCCAGTGCCTGTCTCTAAAGTGCTCAAGAACAGCCGCAGGAGCACACCTGCTGAGCTCGAACAGCCTCTATGCTTGCCGACCCATCAAGTCTTCGACATTCCGCCGGGTGGCCTCCTCGCGCCATCGCCTTCGCCGTCCCCTTCGCCGTCCCCAGCCCCTTTCCGCGAGCGCCTGAGCATTTCCATCAACCCAAGCCTTGCATCGCTCTCCCTGCCAGCGAAGCGTGCGTCGACCAGCACGGCGAGCACATCCAAGAAGACACGCACTGCAACGTCCACCAAAGACTTTGTGCCCCCGGACGTGTCTGGGTTGAGCAAGCGCGAGGCGCGCCTTGTGAAGAATCGTGCAGCGGCATTCCTGAGCCGGCAGCGTAAGCGGGAGGAGTTCGAGTGTATGGAGGTGTGAGTGGCACGGTCCTTCATACGTTTCCGCGAACGTGCTAATAGGTCGCGTAGTCGCGTCGCTGAGCTAGAGCAAGAGAATGCACGATTGCTCGCGATCGCGCAGGCACAGCAAGCGCAGGCGCAGCAAGATGAGGAGCTTGTCTCGGAGGTCGAGACGCTCCGTCAACAACTCGCAGAGATGCAGGAACGCGAGCGTGCTCTCGCAAAGGAGCTGTCGCGCAAGACCGCAGTACGATCGCCATCACCCGCGCCGTCCACCTCTTCGTTGAGGTCGGACGGCTCCGACGAGTCGCTAAGGCCCACCAAGGGTGAGAAGTCAGGCACGAGCTTAGGATTGATGGTGAGTTCGTTCGTGCATGTTCCGATTCAATCAGGCTCAGTGTGCTCGAGGCACAGGTCCTGCTGTGCGCGCTTCCATCCCTGCTCTCCGTTCCAAATCCGAATCCCCAGTCGCCCCTCTCCAACACGATCTCCCTCCCGCAGTCCTCCTCCATCGCTTCCTCCTCGCTCGACGCGTTCCTCGCGTCATCGTCCGAGTTCGACTGGTCGCTGGCGACGCCAAGCCATTCCGCCATGGACCTCGACTTTGACATGGACCGCGCCGTTGCGCCCCCGTCCAATAGCCAGACAATCGAACTCGTCGACGGGAACGACGCGGGCCTCGGCGCTCTCGACATCTCGTTCGACGCGCAGCCGGCAGAGAATGGCAAGATCCGCGTGAGGATACACCCTTCTTCCGCGCCATCATCCTCTGCGGGCACACCGTCGTCCTTCTCATCTGCATCGAGTGCCGCGGGCTCGCCGCCCGCATCGTCGCTCTTCGACGACGACCACACGGTGGCGCTCTGGGGTGAGACGAGCGGCTCACTGGGGCCGTTCCTGAACGCGGACGCATATGAATCGATGGAGGACGACATCCTCGCACGGACAGGCTCGCCGTTTGACTTTGATTTTGATGCTGGAACCGGGGAGTTCTCCCGCGCGGGCTCGCCTGGTGCGGTGCCCGAGAGGCGGCGCGTGCGGATTGCGCTACGGAGCATGCCCGGCAAGGGGCACGAGGGTGGCGAGTGGGAGGTCGAGTTGTGTTAACTCGAGCGGTGATGGGAGCTCCGGCGCCCTTTTTCGTGTGGCATAGTGAAGGACTTTTCGACAACAAGATTACAACGCGAGTTTACTGCAAGATGAAGGAAGCCATGGATGCTCTCAGGTACATATCATAGGCCCCTTTTCACTTTATTGTGCGGAACGAATTTTTTTTGCTTTCCTGTTTCATATTTGCTTGTCTCTTTTTATTGTGTCTTTGTGTGTGTCCCGTGTCGCCGTCTTCGCTTTCGCTCCTGTTGCATTGCATAGCCGGTGTCGATGAGCAGTTGCACGCAGTAGGTGCCCCCCACCCCATCCATCCTTTCGTATGCCGTATGACCTAAGCTATGACCCTATATCCCTATCCTACACGCACGCATCGTACCATACAGCACTCGAATGATTCCCCGCATCATCCATCCTAGAACACTACGCGCATACGTACATACCCTGTCGTCTGAAGAAACAATAACTCAAATTTTACGCTAGCTGCTGTATGGTTGCCCTTTCTGCTATTTAGTTTGGTAATGGTTGTGCAAAAGTACATACAGATGCGAATTCCAGTACTTGGCTTTCTTCTGATTGAGACAAGTAAATGAGGAGCTCGGAAAGGCGCAAATAACCATGGTGCCCTCGAGGCTCGACCATCTGGAGGACATCTCTACATAGAAACTCGATCAATTGAGCTGGGGGCGCTAGATCTCATTGTGACGGCCACAACTCTTCTCGCCACACTGATAGCTAATGTTGACTGATCTAATATTCTATGAAGTTGCACGAGTTGCAGGTCGAGCCGTCCCTTTCATATTATCGAGTTCAACTGAACATCAGGCTTGATGTCTTGACGTAATACGCACCTCTGGAAGCCTGCAAACTGATATGTTACACCCGAATGCTGGGCCTGGAAGATGACTTAATGTGAATGTTCGTGACATGATGAATATCACATACAGTGAGACTTCTAGAACATGTAGACAACGTTCAGTGCAGGCTTCGGCAGTCGGGGTAAGTATCAGGGAAGCTCAGCTTGCTAAGCCTGTGGCACCGGCATGATCGCTCAGCCCACAACGCGAGGCAGCGGCGCTTATTTACTGAACACATCCCATACCATGCCACGGTTTATGATCTCCTCGCCATTCCGAAATTCATGTTTCCGGAATGCAGCACGAAGCACGGAGATGTTCCGTCCAAGAAGTGACTGTTGGACTGCAAGTTCACTTCCGTCTGTTCGCCGTAACGTGGTTTCGTCGGGCCTCTTTACACTAACGATCGCCAAGCGTGGAGAGCGTTGCATGTCTACTCAGGGCCCTGCAGAGGCTGAAACGCCGCTTCAAATGGAGGTTGCCGCTGCGACAGAAGCAAGTCAGCCAACTGAGCCTACAGCGTCGTCTTCGGCAAGTCAAAATGTTAATATCAAGGTGGAAAATACAGTAAAAGCGTCGAAGGCGCGTTCGCCGCCGCTTTTCTTGAGCAATCTTCCGACACACATTCTACCGCAAATTCTATGGACAAGGCTTGAGATCTTTGGGTCAATTGAAAGGTTGTGGATAGGTACGGTGTTTCTTCTTCGGAATATCACTGGCTCATTTTGGCGGTTCTTAGAACGCACGGCCACTGGCGAGCCTACTGGAGAGGCGACGGTTATATATGTGGATGACGAACTGCCCGATCGGATTGTGCGCCTTCAGCAGTCCATACCAATCTTTTTAGAGGGCCATGCGATCTCGGCATCGTTCCGCAACGGTTTGATCAAGCCGTTTGGTGACAATTGGGTGCTTGTGTACAATTTACCAGAACATATCACGGAGGAAGATGTCCAAAGGGCCTTTGCGAGGTTCAGCCCTTTGAGAATTCGTTTTAGTAAGAGTCGTTCTTTATGTTTGTACCCGGGAACGTTGCTAACTGCATGTCGATAGAACGTTCTCCTGAGCGTGTAGTCTTGAGAACAGCTGTCCGCTTCGAAAGCAAGCAGCAGGCGAACAAAGTAGTCGAAGAATGTGCTCGTAATCCCCTTACCATTTCAGACAGACGACTCTGCGTTCTGCACAATGGTGTGTTTGTAACGAATTCCGCTGCTGGCCATTGGCTGCTAGTGCGGGATCTCCCAGATTCGGCGAACTCAGAGGATTTGGACGGACCAATCCCCTGAGGCTTCACAGGTTGTCATACGTCAGTCATGGTCCTATTATGTTTCGCCTTGTTATTGACGAAATACATTCGCAGGTGAGCCTAGCGAGGTGCATCCGAGACGCAGCGCATTTATCCGGATCAACAAGATGTCTGTCGTCCTGCAAATAGTGGGAAAAGCAAACTCCGAATCGATATTGTTCAACGGCGCGCCTTTGCGAGTACAATCGTTGATTTCTGGGTTCAACGACCGGGTCTCGTCGAGATTGTCGGTCACGATTCCTCCGGCCGGGAGCGGCGAGGGCATTGGTGTCAGGCTGTGAAGATTGTGGGGATATCTCAGGCGGACAAGTGATTCACTCGGATTCTCTGGCATGAGATGCGGTCCTGGAATATCATGCGCTGAAACAGCTCTAAGGAGGGATTTTCTGTTTCGATAAGGAGCTGAAGTACAGGCGTGAAAGTACGAGGGACAGACTCAGGCTAAAGTCAACAGCTGCCATGCGCGGTGCGCAGCATTTGGATAGTGAAATTGAGAGGATAGGGCTGAACAGAGAGCCCGCACTGAAGATCAGCATTTTATCTTTATTACTACGACAGGATTCTATCATGCACGGAAAGCTTAGTGTCAACTGAGCTCTGGGCGTTTACACGCTTGTGGCGCACGCGTCCTCCTCGGGCGCTTGTCCCAACACTAATCCTCCGCGTTGTGACCGGGACGATTTGTTCAAGTGCGCATCTTCAATGCTCATGCAAGCCAGCAGAACAACATTACTGTCGCCGACCTGCGGCTTAAGATCTCTGACCGACTCACGATGCAAGACATTAGCGTCATGTTCACGGAATATCAGCCATTTTCATGCGAACCCTGTCCTGTCCGCTTACGGTTCTGTGCCCTCGTTCGGCATCCGCGCATCCCGACCCGTGGACTACTGGAAGCGTGGCTTAACCTCTTCTCAAATTTCTGTGGAGACTCTACTACCGTCTAGCCATCCATTAGAAGTAAGCCTATCAGGCGAGCACGCCGATTCTCCCTCGAGGAGTACAACGACAAGGCCAAATGAAGAAAGGCCAAGAGAGATACCCAAGAAAAAGCTAGCACTGCTGTATGCCCGCGGATTTCCTCTGTACATGCTTCCGCAAGACGTTCAGACGAAGTTCGAACACTTGGGACCGGTCAAGCATATGTGGATGGGTACGTACCGTGCCAATCTCTGCATCGCTCCGCAACTCCTTGACCTTTTCAGAGCGTACCGCTGCAGGCGAGCTCACAGGGGATGCGACAATAATGTACGAAAATCCCACACAAGTCGAGCGGATCATGCGTCTCCAGAGCCTGGTGCCCATAGTTGTAGAGGGGAACGTCATTAAAGCATCGTATTGCTGGGGTTTAAACAAGCCCGTCGGGAATGAATGGCTTCTTGTGTACAATCTGCCCGAAGGGGTGTTGGAAGAGGAGGTAAAGGAAGCTTTGAAGGCTGAGGCAGTCCGTTTTAGTGAGTGAGTCTCTATCATCGATTTATATGCCGCTATTGAATGCTCGTGTCAGCCAGATCACCTGATGGCTCAATCTTTTTCGCAAGCGCACGCTTCGAGTCCAAAGAGCGGGCTGATGAGGCATTCGAGAAGTACACGCGCGAGCCCATCATTATGTCCGACAAGAAGCTCCGTGTGGTGCAGAATGGCGTGCGTGAAGAGAACTACCCCATCGACCGCTGGATGGTTGTGTCCTGCCTTCCGAAGTCGGCGAACGTGGAGAGCGTGCGTGGGCTGTTCCCGCAGGCCTTGCAAGTCAACCTATGTCAGTCGTGCCTTAACACTTCCTTATGCTTTTTCTGACGCCGCACATGCACAGACGAGCCAAACGATAGGCATCCCAAGCCCTTTGCATTTGTCCGCTTCGAGAGGAACGCTGTTATTCAACAGACAGTAGAAGAGGCGACGACCACGCCCTTGGTGCTCGATGGCGAGATCTTACAGCTGGAGCCTTTGGTCCAGTCCATCAACGATCATAATCAATCGAAATTGTATGTCACGGTTCCGCCGACGCCAGATGGTCGGGGGATCGGTCTCAAACTATGAAAAACATAGTATACCAATTAATCCAAACAATTAAGACTGGACTGATCAGCGGAGTAGAAAGGTACAGTGAAAAAGCGATGCGCCGACATAGATGGTCGTCCGTATGCTCACTGTGGTTGGTTAATGTACTCGCGAAGTGGCCAGCTTGGTTGGCGTATATATCACGGATGCTAGTCAATGAACAATGCAGTCAAAGCGAGGCTTGACACCACGAAGCCTTAATTCGGCGATGAGCTTTCGTCACCTCCTCGCTGACAACATACAGTGGTATGATCATCAAGGTATGGTCTAATCTTCTCACTCCATCTCAGGATTCATCAAGGTCGATGACGTAAATAACATTGACGCGAGAGCAGACATATAAAAGACTTTGAGCCAACTACAAGCCGTTGCGCGCAGAAAGCGTTGTTACCAAACGCACACTTCATAGCACTGCAACAGGATGGGCAGAGCATCGATGATCAGTATCCTCCGTAAAGGGACTATACCAACAATAATCCAGGGACACCCTCTGCAAGCTCGGAATAGTCTCGCATGGGCAGACTATGGAATCTATCAAGCTTCGAACATCATGACTCCATCGAGCCAACGTTTTCATAGTCCCTGTTTGGCAGATAATTGTGCCAAACCTTGCATAAGCTGGCTACGACGGGTGCGCTTAGCAATCTCCAACTTCCATGTTAAGAGACTGTTCAGTCGATGGAGACTGGTCTCCGCACCTTGGCAGTTGCCTCAGAACGATTGTGGATGTTGGACACTGCCCAACAATCACAGGTCGATTCTCTTCAATTGATGGGCGTGCGATGAGAATATGGTAATCCTGCTGGTCGGGGGCCTCGCAAATCCCACCCGAAGCGTCCTTCCCCACAACGTGAACGGCCTTTTATGCGCCGCAGACCAGACCTTCTGTGCGACCTCCACCGAAGACACCGTCACGAATGCGTGCTGTGCCCCACGTTCGCCTCGGGCTGTAGAAAATGAGACTACATTGAATGGAAGCCAAACGCGGCGGCACTTACGCATAGCGACGCGTTTCACGACATCCCCAAATGGCATGAACAATGCTTGAACGTGCGCTTCGGTAGCTTCCTTCGGCAGCGCTTTGAGGCATAACACAGAGGAAGGCATCATATCCTCCGTGATCCAACCGTCGCGGACCACAGAGACAGGGTAGCCGCCCAGCTTCGATCGTGCGTCTCGGAGGCCAAGGTACGCCTGCGCTGCGCCGTCTTCCGTCCAAAAGTGCACACGTGCATACCTTCCCGTCTGTGGGTTCATCTCTGCCAGACTCTGCATCAGCCTCGGAGCGAGCAGCATGAACTGTGTGCTCTCACGTATAATGACTCGCCGCATATCGTACTCGTGGAAGAGCTTCCCAACGTCCTCCTCTGTGACGAGCATCGACAGACCGATGACGATGAGGTGGTTGCGCTGTGGAGGGGGATGGTCGCCGTGCGCCCATCGCAATGTGATGGGTCGGCCGTCAAGAAAGATCGGTACTCGCCTGGCGAGTTGCATGATGCGACTGGCGTAGTCGCTGCGTCGGAAGCGGATAAAGGCATAGGTGAGGGTCTCTCCAAACCAATTGCGCACTGCACGCAGATGTATTCAGCGAAGAGCGCCTGTGGGTAGAACTATGAACGCACCGATCCAGGTACCACGCATACGGGCGATTTTATCGAACCTTGTCCATAAGTCTTCCTCAGTGATCTGCGGACCGATGTTCATCACAATGAGAGTTTCTAGAGCATGCTCTTCGACGGGTTCTTCCATGGTTCCGCTCGAATAGATTTCAGGCGCGTCAGCCCTTGGACGGGCAAGTCTCTGAGGTGAAGGCTTGTACTTGTGGGTCTCGGATTTGAGAGATCCTGTCCATTTTGCGCGAGCCGCAGCTATTCGGTCCTTCTGCCAAGGTGGGGATTTCATTCTCCGTAACGCCGTGCTGGATGCCGTAGAGCGTTTCGGATCGCTAGACTCCACATTCATTGGGCTGGTCACAGTTGTTCCGACCTCTTGAGAATCTGGAGATGTGGCTGTTTGTGGCACAGTGTCGGATACCGTAGTTTGCGCTGGATCTCTGAGCAGGCTCGATGTGGAGGAAAGAGGGGATTGGGTAGGTGGCGATTGGCATTCTGAGAATATTTTCGTCAGGAATCGTCTTGACCTTGCAAGCATAGGATCTCTAGTGATGTAGCAGTGAAGGTGCAGCCGGGTTTCGGACTTGACATGAAGACATGACAGCGAGGGGATTGGGCGTCTGAAAAGTACGCGTCGCGGTCACGGTACTAGGCAGTCTTCCCTTCACGCCGACTCATCCTCTTTCGAGCGTCCTGCCAGATATTCATTGCTTCTCCGATTACCTCGCTTTGCAGAGAAAGGCTCGCCGATTGTGCATCGATGGACACCCTGTATATACAATTCCACCAAGTACTTGTTTGCAACGGTCCTGACTGCTCGTCTGAAACCGGCTAGCTAGACATGCTCGAATGGTTATCTTTGGCAATGCTATCATCTGTATTGTTCAGGCATTCATTGCAGTTGCAAAAGTGGCCGAACTATGCGTTACTGTTTGATAAGCAGATATGCTTTCAAATCTCGAGTTGATCCGCAGAACATATCGATATATATCGGGTCATAGGACAAATCGCACGCCTTTCCTCCAGTTCATCCAGATATGCTGATATACCGTGCCATTAACCACGACTGATATATCTTTATGTACAGGACGCGCATAATGGCGAGATTGACAGTGACGATTACGCATGGTGCCCCTCCGTAACAACTGAATGGTCTTGAGTCAAATCGCTGTGCAGTGGGTTCGTATTTAACAGGAGTATCCTAGTATGCTCCTCAAATGCTTCACAACAAGAACTTTCTCCTCCAGATTTCTTTCTGCGCCATCTTCATTTGTCTTGATTGTGCAATTGGGCAGTGAGCGGCAGTGTTCGCCCAAATACCGGCTTGTCGTGTCTTCTTGTTATGGCATACGGTCGATGCTGGATCCCAATCCAGTTGTGTGATGATAGGATATAGGATGATGACTTGAATGGGATCAAGGCATACTGACGGCAGTTTTGAACAGGGATCAATTGACATCGAAAACGTGAGCAGATGGTCTGTTCAAATAGGAACGATGATTTACTTGTGCACATAGCGTTAAGTCAGGCAAGATTCTCGCACATTTCCCAGTAACTCCTCTTTATTGACATCGCACCCAACAGCTCATCCTATATACCCACCCGTCATGCCGGTCGATGATTTTCCTTATGATCCGCAAAGTCCGGTCCTTCAAGTAGTAATCTTTAGAGCTGTAAGTCTTGCGGTTGACGTTCGTGAGAGTCTAATCGTTGTATGTCTCCCTATCTAATCCACATCGGCTATCGAGAACATGGCAGCAGCGATGTCAGATGCTTTGCGAACAATACCGCCTCAGCTAATGGTTGGCGAGCGCGACGGATAGAATGCCTATCGCATCGCATCCTTGCTGGTCATTACTCATCGAAGGCTACTTTCAACAGAATATTACACAAGTTCCACCTGGTCCATGCGCAGAATCACATTGTATGCATCGCATACACCCCCAATATACTTATATTTCCATTTACGGTGAGTGACTGCAAGATTGCTGTCGGATTGTTGCACTGGCCTTAAGTCTGCAGGGGGGGAGACCCAGAAGTTCAAGATAAAAGAAGACATGGCCAAGTCACAGCCTGAGGGATATCTATTGAGCAGCGTGCGAGATGAGCGAACCATTAGGCTGAAGACGGGTTTCGCCGCGGAGGAATCCATGTGGTCAAGGAGATATCCAGGCTGGACACATTCGGTGTGTTGCTCTCCAATTGGATTTGCTCCACTTGCACCTTTACATCCAGTAGACCTGCACAGAAGGGCCCGCGAAAGCCAACGTGGTCCTCACAACCGGATGCCATACTTCGAGTCAGCAAAGTCGACCGCAATGAAATGTATATCAAGATCGCGGGATATCCTGCGTGATTCTCATGTAGCTTGAGATGGATCAGTCCAAGGCGCGCATTTGTTCGTCCGCTCGCTGCTTGTATATTCAGATATACATGCATTACTGATCTCTATCTATTTTCTACCTATCAAGATATCGTTCGCAGTAGGCACTTTGCATGGGGCTATTAAAGTATGCCTTCAGCCTGCTCCTCCCTAGCCAAGTCCCCACCGCCCATCCTCGGAGATGAACAATTTCCAGTCTGACTCTCCTGATCTGGCCAATGCTCTCCACACCCTCGACCTCGCTGGGCAAGATGTTGACAATGCTCCCTTCACCATCGAGAGTATCAGTCCATCCGATGTGCGTCAACCTACTGTCCAAAGTATGGAGTGTGTGTGTCATGCTGACGTCTCTCTGTAAACACCACACCAGGTCATCAAGCATCCCAACAGATACATCACATTGCTTGAGCCGTTCATGAATTTTACCGATCCTGCCACGGCGCTGTTGTCTTTTGTCGGTCACGACATCTATTGCAGGCAGAAAAGTGTCGACGACCCTCCCTATTCTATTGTCGACTTCGGTCCGAAAGGTGTCGGACTTTATGATGTTATTTTTAGGGACCTTTCCGAAGTCGAATTTCCTCCTCTAGATGTACCTGGGGTGCCTGGGGAAGGATTCAGTGATAAGGTGTCAGTGAGAATCAGAGTGCGTGTTATCTAGGAAGGCAGAACCTGGATCTAACTCGCTGACTATACGCACTAAAGTGGCCAAACTACCCAGACGCTGAGGATGAACAAATCAACATTCGGCGATCGACTCTGGAGAGGGAGTATGTCAAGACGTACAAGGTACTGAAGAAGATCTCGGAGTTGTTCCTTAAGTTTATGATAGTGATTCATGTTTGATCTCATTGACTGTGACCGATGCTCATTCCTACGTGCAGGACCAGCGGGATTACGAGCCTCCTGATGGCGATTTTCAATGGCTGCTCCGGCCTAAGGGCGTTATCGGTTTCAACAACATCATTGTGCAGCGAATCCTTAAGGTTGCCCCCGGTAGCATCCAGCCGGTGCTTGCATGCCAGATCTTCGAGCATGGTAAGCATCACTATATTGTATTGGATGCTATACAGCTACTAGGACGTTGCCTCACGCAGCACGCTTTCACAGAGGCGAGACTCCTCAATCACTTCGATTGTCCATTTGAAGATGCTTGACTTTGCTTGCTCTCACGAGTTTGCTGAATTGCCATGCAATGCCGGTCAGACTCCAAGGGTCCTATACTCTCTTCGTTCAGATTATTTCGCACACATCCTCTATCGTACGCTTTGTTGGAGTCCGCTGATAACTGCTGTCATGTGAAGGTTTTCTGTTCACTTCTCTGCTGGCAGACCTTGAACACGCGATATCCGTTTGTATTTCTATACGTCCTTGTTACCTCTCGCTCTTGGATGATACATCACTTTGTCAACAACCGTTATCCGTATAGGCACCGCTGCGCCATGTTCCTCACCCGGTGTATTCTCGCTCCATCGTGAATCACAAGGTCAAGGCTTTCGATGAGACATCACGATTCACTTTGTCAGCAACAATCGTCCGTGGTATCAAGATTGGATCCTTTATAGGTTCGTCGATAAGGTTCCAATCAATTTCATACAGCGGGTAGATCGGCAGATTTAAGTAAATGAAAACAGATCGACGATACGGTAAAAGGGTAACGACGTAGGGGTAAAGATGCACGTCGGGGTCAGGTAATGGGCGGAGAGGGAGGGCTGTCGGCTAGCGTCGCGGCAACGTGATAATGGGCCTGAATGTAGATTATGTCTTTCAGCAACAAAATGAGCAACAAAAGCTCATCTCCCCTTTAGCCTAACGGCAGCAGCTTCAGGTTCAATGATTAAAGTACTCTTACCCAGCTGGCTTTACCTTACACCCTAATCCTAATTCGCCGACGTTCGAACCCCACTGTTCCCACTCGCTTTACCCCTTCTTATGTAGATTTCATCTTTAGCCTAATGACAACAGCTATGGCCATAGGTTAAAGTCATCATGGTTTTTCACTGATTTTTCAGAGTCCCCAAAGTCATGCTCCAGCATCGTGGTAAGTTGATCGAAGATGGGATCACGATCAGCATCAGATCGATAGGACACATGCAGATGACCATCAACAGACCTGATCAAGGCGTGGGTCACACGCGACTTAGTACTTCAACAGATGTCCTTCTTCCTTTCATCCCCTCCAACATATAACAGATTGAATCGACACGCCATTACGAGATAAACAGCCTCCTCGAGCAGAATATCACGACGTCGAGACAGCTAAAAACAAATTGTATGCAGCCTCGTTTTGGCACAGACTCTTGCCCGCGGATGAGAGAAAGGCAGGAAGGTATCGAACAGGGAATTCCCAGATCGATATCTATGTCAAGGACAATTCATGATGCCGGCTGCGGCGACACATATTTGAAACATTCACTGAGAAATAGACACCGACAGGCGGAGGCGGTCCCACTCAGCACTATTCCAATGCAACAATCTCGTCAAGCCCTTCGAGACCCGTATCCTGTGCCCCCTCTTCCCTTCGCGACCCCGTCGACAGCGTGAGCGACCGATCCCGTTCCTGCTGACGCTCCCATTCTTCATAATCATCGCCGCGATAGCTATCTGACAGTTCCTCATCCTCCTTACCATCTGCGCCGTCGTAGCCATCACCGAACGCAGCACCTGTCCACCAGCGCCCATCATCCAGGTCGTGGCGTCTGGCAGCCTTGACGCACTCATCGAACCATGCGCGCTCAGCAGCGAAGTCTATTGCGTGCTCCGCACCCGCGCGTGCGCCGCTGCCGTCCGCCGCGACGTGAACCGGGGTCAGAGCCGACACTCGCGCAAAGAACTTGACCGAGCCGGTGCGCATCCGCGCGTCATGGCGTGTGTCTGGATTTGGGGACTGTGCGTCTGCGTGCGCCGCGAATGGATCTCGGGGAGGAGCAAGCTGGCTCTTGAGCAACTCCAGGCTGGCGGCATCGGTCGACCAGATGGCGGATGCAGGAGCCTATCAGAGCTGGCGTTAGTGGACGCTTTCTGACACTGAAGGATGACCAACCTGCGAAGGGAGGCAGTAGAATACCGCAGGCCGCTTGAAGACGTAGCAATACGAATGCTCGAGAGGCCACTCTGGCGTGACTGAGATCGCAAGGGGAGGCGGGGCCGCACCGCCCCTGCTTGGCCCTGCGATCGGGACGCTTGGTGCGTTATCGGACTCTGCAGCTGCTGCTCCTTGACGACGCTGGCCGATCGCGACAGCAGTGAAGCGGTGCAGGCGCACTCTCTCGTCCCATCCGACGTCGAGCACGAGCGCCAGACGCGGCGGGGCAGACCATTCGGGTGACATGAGGGATGGGTCATGAATGTACGACTTTTCATGTCCGGCTAGCGCGCTGTAGCTTTCGACTGTGATGGCGGGCAGGAGCTGGACGAGGACGAGCTGGCCGACCTTGACAGGCGGTGATCCGGATGGTGGAGGGGGATTTGAAGCTATAACGATCAGCACAGATCAGCACGTCATGAGTCGCTTGTGTCTCAACGGGGGAAAAGACACACCGGTGGACGATGGAACGGTCTGCTGCACGGCTTTTTTCGCGTCCGTTGTGTGGTCGGTACATTGCTTGAACTTTAGCCGCCACGCCGCGTAATCAGGGACCTCCCCAGCCGACAATGACCGCGCATAATCGACAAGCAGTCCAAATTCTGCTGGAAGGCCCGAGGCAAGCCTGTGTCCATCGTGGACCTTTTTCTGTTCATGGACTTGACGAAGTCGACCGAGAGTGGTCCCATGCTCGGTATAGCGAGACCACGGGAGGCTGCCCCGAAGGAGGAATAAGAGGGTGTACGCAAGGGATTCGAGGTCGTCGCGGTAGCTCAGATCTGCAAGGAAATTGCTGATCAGAGTCTGCATGTCTGCAACGCGGAGAAAGCCTCACCGAGCCCTTGGTGTGCATTGAGACTGGCATACGGCAGCGTCCCGAAGATGCTGACTGGTCCACCTGAGTTAGGTGGACGAGGTTGTTTCGCACGGTCCACCTTTGCCGGTCGACAAGCGAGACCAAAGTCAATTAAGCAGACTTGTGACGAGCTCGGAATTTGGAGGAGTATATTGTCGGGCTTGATGTCCCGATGGACGACACCGTGAGAGTGCATATGATCCAATGCGGCGAGCTGCGTCAATGCGTATGTTAGCCACAAGTGTAGCTGTAATTCGCAGTGGCATGTAATCTTACCAGCTGGTCCGTGACGTCAAGTACGGTCGTCAGTGGAAGCGGACCTGAATGTTCGACGACGTCGCCAAGGCTGCGGTGAAGCAGCTGCATTGACAGCAGCTCAAAATGGTCGATTCTTCCGTACGCAAAAACCTGTGGAATGCTCGGGTGGCCTGAAAGAAGCTTGAGCACGCTGGTTTCATGCTGTAAGAGCGTGCGCTTGACGCGTAAGGAGACGCGAGATTTTTTGAGCGCGACTGCGCGACCGGAGTGGCGTTCGGTAGCGTGGTAGACAATGCTCTGGACGACGCGAAGGAACGTTTCAGATGTGCTTAAATATTAAATTAGTCTGGTAACTTACGAAGCCGCCTGATCCTAGTCGGTCTCCTAGTTGGAGGGTGACCTTCTGATTAGCGAGAGCCAATGCCATGAATGATTGTGGTGGTCTGTTGGTGCGAGCATGATCGCGCGTTTATATCAGGCCGACCTAAGTTCATTGCACTCCGCTTGAAACTCCGCGCTCCATTCTGATGGCAAGGATCTGATGTTCCATGCAAGTCATGAGCACAAGCACCACTCACCTGAGGTAACTTTCGACAGTTCGCCGACGCACCTGATGCGTTCCACTGAAACATGTGCAGACCTTGAGTGGGGCTCGTCGCGCCCACTAATCTCAAGCCGCACTCGTCGCGCCGCCGACTAACTTCACCCCGCACTCCACCCGAGAGTCAGAAGCACTTTCATATGAGACAGCGCTCCGGATCGGATGCTTTTGCTTTGCACCACACAACAGGTGCGCAATAATCAAGGCAGCTGCTTCGTTGCCGCTCGTACGTACACACACTCGCGGCCACAGGTCCCCGTAGTCTCGCCAACTGACCTTACGATTCAGTCCATCGGAGAATCAGAAGCATTTTGATATGAGACAGCGCTCCGGGTCGGACAGTTTTGCTTTGCACCGCAAAATGGCTGCACAATAGCCAAGACAGCTGCTTCGTAGCCGCTCGTGTACATATATATATTCGGGGCTACAGGTTTCTGCACTCCCCAATTCCTCCTCGTCTATCATCATCACCGCCATGTCGACTTCCACTAAAACCCCCCGCAAGGACGTTAAAGTCGGTCATAAAATCTGGGCAAAGATGATCATCGACGCGAACGCGCTCAACAGGCCGTCTGGCAAGCTGTCCACGACGATGAAGAAGTACATCCTTTCTGCGCGCTCCCCGAATCCCGTGCTAACCGCGTGCTTCACAGCATCTTCAATCACAAGCCGGTGCTCAAGCAGGCGTACGTGCTCAAGGTCGAGTCGACCCACCTCGTCGTCGCGTACACCACGACGTTCGGCGAAGACACTGCCCTCCCAGAGAACGTCAAGGACCACTCGGCGTGGTACCCCATTGCGCCTGCGACGGGCGCGCACCCGCCGCTTCCGGAACTCCCGTCCCGCAAGCCCGCGTGGATCTACCTCGGGCCGGTCATCAACGTTGACGACGAAATCGTCAGTCCGCTCTGCTGTTCTCTTGCCTATGCCGATCCTGATGGCCCTAATGCGGCAGGTCGAGGTCCTCACGGAGAGCCTGTCGGAGGAGTCGATTGAGAAGGTTATCGCGGCGCTCAAGAAATAAGTAAGCGGTCGCTAGTTCAATCCGCTGATCGCAACAAGATGGCGCGTCAATGTCCTCAGTATTGCATGTACTACTATTGTTTTGATAAATTCGTTACATTCCCCTTGTAAACTCTCGATAGCGAACATCGAAACACGTCTTGCCGAGAGCACGTTCTCGTGAACTGCACCCCGCGAGAAGCTGGGAGATTGTGAGGTCCAAATCTATAAGTTTTTCATGTAGCATCTATTTCGATACAATCTCTCCTGTGATCACACTGCGGTCGAAACAGTAAAGCCAAGCTGCAATCTCGTAGTAGCTCTGTCGATCATCGATCATCCCCATGCGCGCTTTCGGAGTTACTGTACGCGTAAGGATTTTCATCTCCGACTCACGTCGATCAGATCTGGTATATATAACAAACTACTAGCCAACCGTTTTATCGCTCCATTTTACACATCTATCCGTATCTTCCGGTGAATCATTGATGGTGGCATCTGCAGATTGGATTTGTCTACGTGAGAAAACATGGCAATATGCAGCGCTGCATAGTGCTCTGTAGCCGCTCATCGGGATTAGGCACGCGTAGACAAGCCCAGTTCGCAGATAGGCGATGGTGGTTCCTAATCCTAGTTTCAACAGTTGGACGTTATGGTTCAGGGTAAGTACATTCTTTGAGTTCTGCTAAGTCACCGGAGAATCGAGTACTATGCAGGGGAATTGGTCGTCGCGTTCGGTACCATAATATACGACGATGCATTCGGCTCCAACCTCAACCCCCATCCCCCGGCGTTATTTCGAGTTACTTACCGCAACGTTGATCGTAGATTTCCTGTAACATGATGATATCACCATGGCATACGGCGTATTCAACTCAAAATTTCTGCAGGCGAACCCTACATGTCCAGGTATCTAGATAGTGATTAAGAAGAAAAGACGGTCATCACTCGGTGAGCCGTCACCAGATTGATGTATCCTAACTTCAATCGGAACACGGTTGACTTGATCATGGTCAGATCCGCCTGGTTAGCAGCTTATCCAACCGGATAGCCAGTCCGACCCACGCGTACCAGATAGTATCCTTTCCGTAAAGTCTCCTGTTTTTCCCGCAATAGAGATCTGTCTATTTTCCTTTTCTAATTCACTAATAAACAGTGCGAACATATCTGCGCTCTAGTCAAGTCTAAGCCATTTTTTTCCGTCAGACGTCACTCATTACCGCTTGATCGCTGACGATATCGTTCTTCATTTTTTTCTCTGAGTGGTCCGTCCGTGACCTCACGAAGACCACCGTACAGTCAGTTCAGGAACAGATGCAATGCGAGAGAGCATGTTGCCTGGGTCATGGACATGGTAAGTGGCGCCAGTGTATGTCTAGATAGCGCATCATATCTCAGTGCCACATAACCGGATTTCGTTCACGCCACCAATGCGTCGGTTCGTCGTTTCTATCTCCTTCTTGACCATTGCACACACGGATAGTCAACTAACACGTTCCTGTTATGTCCAGATATCGTTTGTAGCAGGCCTCGCGCAAAGGCCCTTGCCCTCTCACTTATAAAGTCTGCCTCATGTTCTCTCGGTTCTGTAAGCTCCGCCTCGGTCAAATCCTCATTGTCTTCTCGAACACTGGAATGGCCGACACGAGTCTGGACAACATTGATGCACAGTTGTCTGAGTTTGCCGCGGCTGGTTTCACCGTGGAGCAACACGATGCGGTCGACGGCGACGTCGCAACGGGCCTGAATGTGGGTCTATCTAATGTTTGCATGCATGACATGCTAACATTGCTGTGTAGCTGCCAACACGGCTGGATCAGCCTCTCAAAGAACATACTTATTCTGAGATGCCGTTCATGAACTTTAACGTTCCTTCCACGGATCAGTTGCCACCGCTCGACGTTCCATTCAATCCATATCGCACACCAAATACTGCAGATTACACTGTTGTCCCTATTGTGAAATTGCCCCCCGGTGGGATCAGGCTTTACGATTTTTTATTTGGGAGTTTTTCGGGGGCTGGCCTTCCTCCGTTGCATGTATCTGGGGATCCGTTCAGTAGCAAGGTATCAGTGAGGATCAGAGTATGTCTCATTCAGCAATGCAACGGCTCGTTTGTTCATTCATCGACTACACTTGCGACAGTGGCCAGGCTATCAGAACATTCTTGCCAAGGACAAGCAGATAAACATCCGAAGGACGACTGCGAACAGTGAATACGTGCATACACAGAAGGTATTGGAACAGATCGCGAAGCTGTTCTGGAATTTCATGAAGGTCGTCTAGTTCATAATTCGCGTCGTAAACTGTTACTGATGCATATTCCTATGTGCAGGACGTTGAAAACGACGTGATAAATGTCGAATGGGGTCTCCGTCCTAACGGCGCCATTGGTTTCAACCATATTTTCCTGCAGCAGATACTCAGGGTTGCTCACGGTAGTATCCAGCCGGTGTTTTCTTGCCAGAGGTTCAAGTAAGGTAGGTGTTGCCCCACGGCATTTAATGCTATACAATTAACAAGTTCTTTCAAACTCTTTAGAGGCGGAACTGCCTGCTCACTGGGATCGTCCATTTTTAGATATTTGATTTTGCCTACTCTTATGAGCTTTCTGTAGTGCTACATACCGAGGATTCGATTTCAGGAGTCCTATTCTACCTTCATTTGAATTTCTCGTACGCATCCTTTGTCGTTCGTTCTGCTCGGATCTTCAGGCTATAGCTGTGTCATGTGCTACGTTTTCTGTTCATTTTCTGCTGGCAGATCTTTTACACGTCACATCCATTTGTACTTCAACCACAATCGGAATACTTGATGCTTGAATATCATACTTGCTAAATTGATGACTTGGGAGCGGTCTTCGACATGAAAGGTAGAGAGCGACGTCTGAGCTACGTGCCGATTGAGACCTTACTACTGCTCATCTATGCTTCTAACTCAGATGGGGGTTGACATTCTCGTCGCGCCTAGTTTCGGTCGACCATGTAAACTCTCTTGCTCGAGTTCCCAGTATGCGAGAACGGTACGTACGGTTCCTCAAAATTGATGGGCCTCAGCAAAAGTCCAGACAATTTAAGCAGCCACAATCGCTGCATGCTTGGGACACGGACAGCCTACAGGCTATGCTGCCTGACCCTACTCGACGATAGGCGCCGACACCATTAACTTGTCTACGTTCAAGCTTTGGCGTATCCTCTTGCACGCCGTCGTCGCCGACACCCCGTCTAGCACTGCGTTCCTAAGACACCAAGTTTCCTCTTGAATTGCTGTATCCTCCCTCCGGCAACCCCACCTGCATCTTCTCTGAAAGCTCGAACGTGATGGTGCTATGTCACTCGATGACGCCCTCTAGACCATGGTCGGATCACAGGAACAAATCAGCCACGCTCGCAAGATGCATGACGAGAACTGGCCGTCGTCCTCCGGGAAAAGGCGCATTTCCGACACGTCGCGTGTTCAGCTCGAAGGTGCAGCGATCGTCTGGAATTGGCATCTCCTCCATGAGGTCCTTCTGCACGTTCAGGAAAACCTTCGCAGCTATCGCCCTCCATATCGCATTTGCGGCGGCATTCCGAGATCGTCGAATGTCTTCGATGTTATTTCGGGTTCTCGTGCAGCATCTGCACCTTAGAAATGCACCTGATTGGCAACAAGTATGCAATCAAGTCCCCGTGGTACACGAGAGCTCGATAGCAGCACAGACGTAAACATAGACGGTGCGGAATGAAAGGAGAAGGACGCACCGAAAAAGTTGATCATGAATACCGGTCGCAGTTGCATATTCGGCTTGGCATTGCGTTAAGGTGGGGGAAGGGGATTCGATGAGCACTGGGCAATCTTCCCTGCTCAAACACATTGCGCTGCGATGTTCGCCATAGCCTAGCACTTTTGTTAGGATGATTGTATCTAGTGGCACTTGCAGAAGAAACTTGTTGCTTACATGTGCCTAATAATCGATGACGACCTCCTTGATCGAGGCGGGTACAGCCTGTGGCTCACGAAGAACGGTACAAGCAGTCATACAGCTGGAAAGGGCGAGAGTATCGGTACAGTTCTCTGTGGAAAGTAAACATCTCCGAGGCGCAAAGAATACCCTAAGTAGAATATCCATGCGGATGGTGAGTAAACCGTCGTGCGAGAATTCTTGAATAGCGCATCATAAATTCAAGTCCAAATGCGAGTGAATATCAGCGGATGGATGTGTGGCCTAATACGCACGACCTCATCATTGCTATGACTCATCGAAACGGTATCTTACGATTCCGTCTTAGCAGTGGTCGGACAGAGCACCAGTATGCAGCCCTATCAGCCTGGAGTTATACGAGCCAGTACTGTATCAACGAGAATTTCTGTGGTGGCAATCAGTTAATAGCACCCCGCATAAGAACTGAGAGCATACAGTGGCCGACACTTCAAGCTTCAAGCTTCGTTCAACACTTGCAATGAACATCATTGCGTACTTATGGCATGTGGCAGTCCTCCACGCTATCCGGAGAGACCCATCAATAAACGACTCGGACGAGCTTTCTCGGCTGGAGTATAGGATCGACCTTATACACAAAGTAAACAAACCCGATATTACGATTGATAATAAGCTACTCCTATGTTCCTGCAAACGTGGATCAGCGATGACATTGAAGAATTTGGACATGTGTCGATGTCGATGAACGTGGCTGAATACGCGATCATTAGCGCGCGTGCACCGACTCAGTTCGACTTTTCATCCTGATCGTGTCTGGCCAAATGCTGCTTCATCGCCTCAGCGTTCGAGGCCAATGCTCGGCACAGCCTCGAGACCATGACGACAATGCAAACGATTTCCTGAAGATGTCCGAATGCGGGCTGCACGATATGCTCTGCTCCGATCTAGAGGTCATATCAATCTGAGCATATGCTCATGAAGCCTCACCGGCATCTGTTATCGCACGCTCGACCCTGACCACTGACTCCCATCATCTCCGCAATGAGCTCTCCGAATGGTTTGATATGTTTTACGAACTGCCTCCTGCCGCAGGAAGACGGCAACCTCATCGAGAAAGACCTCTGGATCGACGAGCGGAGAGGCATCATTCTAGATGCGCAAGTGAGTTCTTTGGATTCACAAATTCTCGATGTCATTGAAGTGGGTCTCGCTCGTTGTAGAGGACGTTCTTCCTGAGGAAGGAAAGGCCAGACAGGGTCATTGATCTTGGTGGAAACATCCTCAGGTCAGTCGGTTTCGATCATATAGCCATCGTGCAGATCACTCCACTACAACGTGTCTGCCTTTTGGAAGGATGATGATCATTGTATTCATTCTTATGCCGAAAGGTAGCATAGATCCTGGCTTACGTATATTTTCCAGCCCTGGGTTATTGGACATACAGATCAACGGAGCCTATGGCTTTGACTTTTCCGTCTACGATGGAGATGATGAGGCGTACAGAGAGGGCCTGAAGACGGTCGCCGAAAAGATCGTGGAAACAGGCGTTACTTCGTAAGCCCATGAATCCTTGCCATTTTGCTCCACGTCTGACTGTCTCCCAGTCTCGTCCCAACGATCATCACCCAAGAGCGCTCCCTCTACCCGAAGATCCTTCATCTCCTCAGACCCTTCTGTCTCCCGCACTCCGCGACGCTCCTCGGGTGGCACGCTGAGGGGCCTTTCATCCAGCTTGCGAAGCGCGGCGCACACGCACCGCAGTTCCTCGTCCCCGCCCATGAGCGCTTCGCCTCGTTCGAGGCGGTCTACGGCGCACAGAACCTCGCGGATCAGGAGGACTGGCTCATGTCTGAAGACGGCAACGCGGGGCTGGGCGTCCGCATCATTACTGCTGCCCCGGAGATTGACGGTGTCATGCCATCCATTGAGGAGGTCGTCAAGCGCGGCGTCGTGTTCTCGATCGGACATAGGTGAGTATTAGTTGCCTCGTACAGCCCATCGAGTATTCAATCCCGCCCTCGCATTAGCATTGCCACCACGGACATCGCGACGCACGCGGTGCAACAGGGCGCACGGCTCATCACTCACCTGTTCAACGCGATGCCGCAGCTGCACCACCGCGATCCATCCATTATTGGCCTCCTCGGCGCCTCCCCCTCCCTGGTGCAGTCACCGTCCATGCTCCCATCCATGCCGTCGACGCAGATTTCGCGCACATCGTCATTGAAGAAGCGCCTTTCGCAGGCGCAGGCGTTGCACGAAGGTCCGAAGGCGACCTCGGAGGCGTTCGATGATCTCGAGACGCCGCCTCAGACGCCAATATTGAGGGCGATGGCTGCGCAGGGCGATCTGAACTTGCAGAAGGGCAGAGTGGCGGAGATGCCGTTCCAGAGGCCGTTCTATGAGCTGATCGTGGATGGGATTCACTCGCATCCGAACTCCGTTAGAGTGGGTATCCGGTCACAGATCCAGTTTGATGGTGTGCTGACCCGATATCGGCAGCTTGCGTACTCATCATACCCAGAGGGATGCATTCTGATCACGGACGGTATGTTATCAGATCATGATTTGTGTTACCTCGATGGATGACTGGGCTTCAGCCATGAAGATCCTCGACCCTCATCTGAAGGACGGCGTGCATGAGTGGCGTGACGGTAAGCGCTTCGTCAAGGAGGGCGACAAGCTCTACCTCGAGGGCACCGATACCCTCGCAGGCAGGTAAGCCGTTTCCCCTCGCTCCGTGCCTCACCTTCCACACACTTATGCTACTCGACCCTACTCAGCGTGGTCACCCTGGACAAGTGCGTGCGCAACTTCTCACGTTTCACCGGATGCTCGCTCGGGGAGGCGATCAAATGTGCCACGTACAATCCTGCAAAGTAAGTCGGCGTTCGACAGCTGCGAGTGCGGAGCCTCACGGTAGCATGATTCAGGTGCCTTGGCATCGAGAACAAGAAGGGTACGCTGCGCCACGGGGCGGATGCGGATCTCGTCGTGTTGAATCACAAGGGGAACGTGCTCAGCACATGGGTGCGGGGAAAGGAGGCATGGAAGAGGAGCTAGACGGGCTCGATGAGACACTGACATTGATAGAGCTATGTGTTTTAGATAAACATATGAGACATCGAATATATGAAGCCTTGTATTGCTCTCAGCTAGGGCGTGGATGATTGAGGCATGGAAGGGTGAATGTAGACGCCCAGAACGAGTCCTCGTTCATGGCCTCACTATACGTTGGTGACACATAAGCTGAAGTAGCGTAACACCATCGTGGTTCTTCTCTAATGTAGAAGAGATGACAATGCAGCACAGAATGCAGAACCGCAGTGGGAGGGTAAAGACCACCGCATTGTTTATAACCTTTATCACATTGTCCACGGTATCCATATTACAACACAAATACGAAAACGAACTCGCCCAAAATAACAAAGGACAATTCAAGTTCACAAGGCACGGATTCTCCATTGTAATGTTTCACAGCACGCGTTAGGTAACGTAGTGCTTGGACGCATCATAGCAGCGTGCAGACACTGACCTCAGCATCTCAGACATCGGTGCCAAAAACTGGTTGAATACTACCATAAGCCACCCTGATAATCGCCAGCAGGAAGATGCGATCGACGTTGATTCGGCCAGTCGGGAAGAGTCCCCACTCATTGGCAATGTTCAAGTCGCTTTGTACGTGCTGGACGTCATCGTACGCATTAGCCATTATTGACGAGATAGTGCATCAGCATACCTCCATGAACTGAAGGAACAACCTTGCGATTTTCTCCAACAGCTTGTACGTATCGACGTACTCAGAGGACGCAGTCGATCTACGAATTGTAATCTGCTTGTTCAGATGTGTGTTATAGGGACGTATCTATCGCAAAATCATCTTGAACATCTGAAAGCTGGAAGGCCTCGTATCACTGAATGAGACGCACCGAGATCCTCACGGATACTTTGATACCGAATTGCTTGCCGGTGACTTTTAGAGCAGGAAGCTGCATGCGCGAGAGATCTCCCTGCTGAATATCACGGAGGCATATTGGAGGAATATCGACAATAGACTCGGCATGGAACTCGCGGCTGTCCTTGTTCGAATATAATTGGTATGGAATGACCCTCAGGTTTCTCATTGAACCGGTAAAATGAATGAACTGCCCATCGGATATGAGATGTGTAGTCTGCGAATGAGCGGACCAGGGAAGCATCTATGATGTTCCCAGTATGAAACACAGATCAAAAATAAAGAATAAGAACGCACTTCCGATGGACCTGTTTCCTGGTTTATTATCATGGGCTGGAGGAGACCAGTTGGGATAAAAACTGGCCGAATACGATTATTCGTGAGCTGAGGTTGCATCTGTGCGATGTTTTCAGCATGCCACACACATATTATATTTCAAACTTATACAAACGCAGAACGCACGTCGAATGAATTTCCTGTGTTCCCTGATGCGTCCCCATAGAGTTGTTGACCACCGGCGAGGCTGTTGGGTGAGATATTGTGAAAGGGAGACATGATATCGGCATAAGGCTTCGTCATCTGCCGATCAAAACCAGTGGAGGGCTGGTGTTGCAACTGTAGAGTTATCAGTGCATAATGTATACTGAACAGCTGCAGAAGGCACACGCACGCTAAACGGATCCCCGCCCTGGGTCATCGAGGTGTCCCAACAGCCCTGATACTCGTTTGACATGAAGGAATAGCCTCCCGGTAGGGACAGCGCGTTGCCCATCTGCACTGCCTGCGGCAGGCGGTAACCCTTCGGGCGCGCAATGAACATCCTCTCGTCGAGCAATTGCTGGTGCTGCAACTGCGGAGACGAAAACATGTCAGAAACGCGTCTGGACACATTCTCAACTAGGCGGCAACCTCGTTTGTCGAGAAGTTTCCATGACTCTGATGCTCAATGGAGACGAAGGACGAGATGGCGGGTGACCGAGATGAGATGTACTCCCTTCGCTCCGCCACGGACCGATGTGGAATCATTGGCAATGTGCCCGTCGAGATATCAGTAGCCTGGGACGGCCGTTGCATCCAACAACCATGTCAGCATTCCACACATACTCCGTACCAGCAGAAGATAAACGCACGCTCATAGTACCTCCACCCTGATTTCTTGAGGAACCTTCATCTCCTAGAAATTCACTGATGTCGTCATTGGCCAGCGGGTCGTGAGAATCGGACAGCGACGAGTCCGTCAGTGGGCCTTGAGCATCTGCTGGTGATGAGAGGGCATCAATCTCATAAGTGACGACGGGTGCCGAATTAGCGGAGGTCGTATCTGCAAAACAAACAAATCAATATGTCGCGCATATTTTACGATTGGACCCATGGTAACAGGATACTTGCCCTGAATTCTCGATGCGTTCCCATCAAAGGATTGCTCAATGCAATTATTGTCGACTGTGCTCTCGAATGGCAGCGGATGGCTACGAAGGTCAAGTATTGAAGGATCAATGCAAAGCGGGTAAGAGTTGTTGGTTGTGCTCGTCATTTCGACGTTGGAGATAAAACGATGAAGGACTGACAAGTACGAGAGCTTCATTAGCATCTTATATGTTCCTTTTCACGAGGTTCGGAGGGAAACATGCTGTAGCGATATCTGGATATACAGAAGTTGATGATGTTAACAAGCGAGGTCAGCCTGCATCAAACACGTTGCCTACGATCCTGTGGACTGATTTATCGCTGCATCGAAAGTATGGAGGACGCGCAGATTGAATGCGCTATCCAGATATGCGAATCCAGAGGATTAATCCATCTTCGGTGCTTGAACGAGCGGGGTGGTTGGCGACACACGGCAGCAGACTGTTTTTGCATGAACATTGACCGTATGGATATAGTTTCACCGACGGGGATGAACCAATCGAATCATAAAGCCACGAACGTCGAGATCTCGTGGGCAATAAGGGATGGAAATCCGGATATCTTCATCGCGTGAAGCTCGAGACACAATAAGTAATGCAGAACTACCCATGAGCGCACGGGCCTCCCCTTATGTCCGGTAGGGCATCTTGATCGTGCGGCAGTTTTGGAGACATTGGACCCACACATTGATCTCTGAGAAACCTCAAGTCAACTCATCAAGAAGACTGGCTGTTGCACGTACATACGGTGCAAAATTTGTTACGATCTGTACTCAAGTAAGTGAGGAGATGTAGCTGCACGGCCCAAACAACTCACCTCAGCCGTACTAATGGTGGAACGGATGGAGGGAAGTTGAAAGGCGGGGATGCGGTATATGTGAGGCGGGTGTGTATTATGTAACCCGCCTTCTTCGCGATCCGCCGCGCCGCCATTGACAGCTGCGACAAAATTGCCTGCAAGATATATATCATGGCAACTTCTTACACTACTTTGAAACGCTCAGTACTAGCAGTGCTAGTAACGGTAACATACCCACGTGTTGAGATCAATGGACGGCCTCTGTTCGATCAGGGGGGAAGGCAGCATGAAGGGAGCTTGTATTTGGTATTGCAGCCTTCCAGCTAGTCAGCGTCGGGTGTAGGCTCATAAACCCAATTCATAGAGAAAGATCGTTGTTCCTCTGTACACAGTGAGCCAGTAGAAGCAGCAGCAACAGTTTCTTATGTAAGCAATTCAGTCATCAGTCATGTCCTGATCTTACCTATGTCACAATCTCAATTGCGACGCCAGGATGATCTCGAAGGTCAGCAGCGGATACATTTCCGTCATTTACAATGATGGACAAACCCGACGGATCGGCGGCTAAGTAAGTCTTAATGGATCTTGCATTCCCACGCCTCAGCATCTCCATTGGAGCGGCCTATTCTAAATCTCTGCGGAAAGTAGTATTGATCTCAAAAGGCCAGATATATCTGTATGAACGCTTAGGTCGGCTTCCGCGACGCCTTCGCGTTCAAATCAGTGCTGCCTCAACCTCTGTTCTCTCAACTTATCCTCCGCTCGCGGTTCCTCTGTATGTCGATGGCTTCGGGAAAGTTGCATCTCAAACGAACGCCTGCTGAGCAAGCAGAACGCGAGTTCCACGGAGCGAAGAAGGCAGCGCGCAGAGCAGCCAAGCGGCATCGTCACGACCTTTCCGAGTCTTCAAGCGACGAGTATCGCCACGAGCAGGCAAATTCTCCCCCCAGCAAACGTGGCCGGACGGGCCACTCGAAACCCTCTGGGACCGGCGCACCCTCGTCTGATTATTCATATGTGTTCTACGACAGCGTAGACGAGGACGGCCCGGTCCCGTTGCCTTCCGCCTCTGCCTCCGCCTCCGCGTCGTCCTCGCGGGCGCACAAACCGGACTATGACCAAATCCGTGCGCAGCTCGAGGAGGAGCGCTTCCGCGAGAAGATGTTCGGCGCGATGGAGGAGGACGAGCGGTTAGACGGGCTGGAGTCGCATTTGAACTCGTACGCGCACATTCCGCGGAGGTGGCGGGGCGGGGGCATGGACAGGATGGACGACGAGCTGGGCATCGATCCGCAGTTGATGGAGGAGGACGACTATGCAGAATGGATAAGGGCGGGAATGTGGAGGTAAGTGCGGTGCTTGTATGCTAGTCGATGCGAGCGTTGATATCCTTGCAGAAGGAAGCATGCAGAAGAGTATGCGGAGCGTGAGCGCAAGAAGGCGGAACGTGCCGCTCGGCGGGCGCGCGAGAAGGCGATCAGGGACGAGACGAAGCGTCTCGAGAGGGCGGAAGATGAAGACAGGAAGCGGCGCCAACGAAGCAGAGAACGCAGGCGTGCAGTGGAAGTTAGGGAACAGTACGATGCGCGGTGGAAGATGCTCCTAGCTTCAGGCGAGGACGGTATCCTGCGATTCGAAGACGTCCCATGGCCGGTCATTCCTCCGGTTCTCAGCAGCAAGAGGAGCACACATCACTGGCGGATATCGATAGAGCATCTAACGATAGAGGCCATCTCTGCATTCCTGTTCCCTCCAGGAGAGTCTAGCGATGGTGAGAGAGAGGAGAGGAAGAAAGATCGGAAGGAGAAGCTCAGGGAGACTATGCTACGCTTTCATCCGGACAAGTTCGAGGGGCGAATTATGCGTCGTGTGCGGGAAAGCGAACGGGAGAAGGTCAAGGAGGCTGTGGGCATTGTGGTCCGGACTGTCAGTGGCTTGATGGGAGAGGCAAAATGAGTGTGTTCTCTGCAGCTCGTATGTATTGTTACTTCGCATATCTACTATCCACCTTTAATCCACGGATATCTTGCTCGTGTCCTGTAAGCTTATGTGACAATCTATCTAGGAACGCTAGCATTGCTTTTCCACAGCACAACAGAACGTGTGTCTTTCCGATGGACATCCTCAATGGTGATTATGCAAGAGGAAACATGGCATTCAGCGTTCAAAGTATCTATCCATCATCACGATACGGTCACTACTCGTATCGACTAATTCATTCGAAAAAGCCACATTCCGCTTATTTCCACTGGACCATATAGTCTTCTGAGTGCCATAAACGGCCAGCAAGTCATCCGTACAGAGATTGTTCTGAGACAAAAGGATGTTTTCAAAGATATTGAGTCTGACCGATGGTAGTCGAGAGAAACCGGAAGCCTGAGCTATCCCTCACAATTTGATGTAATCGCAAGTGCAAGACAATTGGCATGACAAATCAAGTCAGGAGAAAGATCCCACATAGTACTGTGGCAGGATTTCATCTTGATGGCTTGTCACGGTCTAACTTGAGAAAGGTCCTGGGTATTCGTGACAGCTTTGGGCGCCTGAGGACCCACATGCGTCCACAAAAGCGCTTTCCTTCAAGCGCCGCGTCTCCTTCCAACTTGCTATCACACTCACCGACGCACCCGATTGTATCCCTCTCCCCTATTTTTTCACCGATATATGCGGAATGAGAAACGCGCCACTTACCACGTTACATCACGCGTCATGACTAATGTCAAGCTACAAACCGTCCGCGCCATCGTACGGCACCGGCAGGAGCGAAGGTTGGGAGTCCGACGAGGGACCTTACCTGATGGATTTCGCCGACCCACAGTTGCTTGGTCATTATAAGGAGCACCTCACGCAGGTCGCTCATTAGTTTCGCACATACATATGGCATCAAGAGCTTTGCCCGAGTGCTGGGGCCACCGCGGCGTGAGTGATTAGCGGCCTCGATGCGATGCGAGAGCTGACGTCCACTCACAGGCTTCTGTGGCCTATCCTGAAAATACCCTCGCGAGTTTTGAGAAGGCGTTACGAGATGGTGCTGAAGGTGTTGAGAGTGGTGCGCTACATGATGCCTCGGTGTCAAAACGTTCACCTGATGATCGCCGTCAGATATTCACGTATCTCTAGACGATGTTGTTCTGATGTTCCACGATCCATGTACGTGTCCTTCAAATTCAACGAGATGTGGCGCGTTAACCCAGTCTGCGCGCGGGAGTAGTTCTGAATCGGACAACGAACGGCAAAGGTGCACGCGGACTGCCATCGCCTCGTCATCGTATCGTACTCACACGATGCTATCCGTGACTTTCAGGTTTCATCAAGGGCCAGCGTTGGTACGGCCCCGACGGCATGCAGCACCTGCGCACACTGAAGGAGCCCAAGCAGCCCATCCCCACCTTCGCAGAGACAATAGCCCTATTCATGCAGGTCAGCCCCCCCCCCTTGCTACCCGTCCTCCTTCTCATGCACCCCAATTCGCAGCCAGAGAACCGTCATGCGAAGCTGCACGTCGACATCAAGGCCTCCAATGACCCCGAGAGGCTCTTCGAGCTCATGCATAAGACGATCTCCTCCATCCCGGATTGGGAGACCGCGCTCGCGCCGCGCTTGTGGCTCGGCGTGTGGCACCCCAAGTTCATCCCGCATGCCACGCGCCTCTTGCCATACTGCACGCTCGTGCACATCGGGTTCAACTTGCACGTTTCGCGGACGTGCTTTTGGGAGAGCTGCGATGTGTTCTCGGTGTACTTTGGCATGCTCGCGTCCCGCGATGGGCTCAGGTGAGTGTGTGGGTGTGGGTATGTAAGATGGAGCGGGCGGCTGATGGGTATTGCTGTAGGTTCAGAGAGGAATGCAAGAGGGCAGGAAAGAAGCTTATCGTGTGGACGCTGAACCGGCCGGAAGAGATGATCGAGGTGGGCGCTCTGGGTTCACTTGTCGTCAACGCTCTCATCATTCTCCCAGGCTGTCCGATGGGACGTTGATGTCCTCCTCACTGACGTGCCGCATCTCTGGCACGAGTTGCACACCTCTCTAGACGGTGCGTGTCGGCCGTCTCGAGTCGGTCATGATCCCACTGACCATCCTCCAGCGGACTTCAACAAGACCGTCTCTCGGTATAATCGGACATTCCTATGGACGACATGGCGCTACTATGCTCCTGTCGTATACTTCTGGGCGGCACTCGCATACCTCTACCTCCAGTATGTTGTTGGGCCGCTGCAGGGCAAGCCGCGCGGTATTGCCGCAAGGACAAATTAAGGTAGCGGATAAGTTATTTCTATATTGCTAGATGCCATAGATGCGGTCACCGGCTCTGGGATATCTGTGTCGTCCAATAATGAAGGTACTATCCATTGTCCACGAGCATGCCACGACCATCTACCTACGATCGACCGTGCTCACAGACGACATACAGGAAACCCGCTCGCCATTAATGCAGGAGGTTTCAGGACCTGCTGTGTGAAACTCTACTTGGGATTCTAGATAGCATTACTCGATAGCCATAAAACACATGCTTTCCATTCATCCCAACTTGCCTCGCTCCTGGAATATTGGTGGTATCGAGGCATCTGAGGGCTTCCGAGGGCTCTCTTGTGTGTTTTCCATAATCTGGTCATTACACTTGTGGCGTTCCGGCACAATACAACGCATGGAGCTAGCAAGGACGTTCTGATTGGTCGTATGCCCACTTTGAGCATTATCTCGACAGATCTGAGCACTGGATCCTTGGACCAACACCGAAGGAGTATCACGAGTTGAACGGTAAGCACCCTCCAACAGGCCAGGATCGGAACCTCCAACTTGAACCCACTACACTCCAGAACCTTTGCAAGTGAAGTCGCTCGACGACTATTCCTTTGGATTGTTTAAGAGGTCCGTGAACATCTTTAACTCTTCGACTGTCGGTGTAATCATGATCCTCCTGCCAAGGGCGGCCGAGGCTATCCAGCATTTGGGCTATCGCGAGATCAGAGTCGACGTCATTCGCCGCTGGAGCCTAGCGTGAGTTTCACCGAGCTACAGCATACTTTGGATTGGGCCAGAGTACGTCGGTCTTCCTCCTTCCGCGCCTATCTTCCACGTCAATTTGTGGACGAACCCGAGAATCTCTATATATGCACCATGATGAATACTATAGCTTGTAGGATAAAGTTCTCCGTAGAGGGCCACGGAATTGTTCGCCCCGTCGGCGTGAACTTGCAGCCCATCCGCGGAGGATCAGTCCGCGTTGTCACCTCTCGGCATGAAATAGTCATCGCTTGCGACGCACTCCGCAATCCACAGCTCTTGATGCTCAGGTACGGCTCCACATAGTTACTAGTGTTGTATCCTCCCATTGAAACATTTAACAAACCCCATCCCGCGAAGATGGTGATTGACATACGTGGAAAGCCATCAATGTCAGATATAAAAGGGAAAGCGTAGCTGAGAAGTGCTGAAAAGATCAGTTGTAGTGATAGTGACCACTATCCACGAAACCGTCATCTTCTGCTCTGCTGTTGGATTTTGTACTGTCCAATTCCTGGAGCTCGATGTTGTCGCAATTTCAATTGATGCGTACTAAAGACGGTCGAGTGGCCCTGCTCAAGGACTATTTGAATATGTTGCTTGCCTACAACGTTGAAAATCGAAGACTACCCCTTGAATTAATAGTCGAATTCGTGCAACATGTTCGGCGTTCGACGTGCGCAGTGCGCAGGCCCAGCTGCGGGATCCTGTGACCACGATGTACCCAAAATAGAAGTTATTCTCGCCTGGCTGTGTTCCCAGTCAGTCCCAAATTGAACGATTCCTCTTCACCCACTTGCTTCCCCCCCCCCGTATTCAACTTCAACCTCTCCTTTCATACCCCTGCTGGCCTTCGACCGACTCCAGCGCCATGCTACTTTCTTCACTTCCCATCTCGCTCCTTCTCCTCGTCTCGCCTGTCTGGGGAGCGGACTCCCTCTCGTCTTCCGGTTCGGTCTCCGTGTCGGCGTCGGAAACCGTTAGCGCGAGCGCGAGCGCGAGCGTGAACTTGAGCTCGGCGTCGAGCGCGAGCAGCAGCTCAGGAGCGAATTTGTCGTCAACGAGTACGGCGTCGTATCCCAGCCTGAGCGGGTACTCGACCTGCGGTGTGTCTGCTGCCAAGTCGGGACTTCTGGACTGCTGACACGCTGCTGTGCTTTTGTGGTCATAGTGGACACCTGCCTTGACTCGGCGGTTGCCAATGCTGGGTGTGACAGTGTCGTGGAGGTAGACTGCTTCTGTGGATCAAAGTAAGTCGTCCCTGGATCGATTCCCGTTACGTCGATGGTTGTATGAACGGAGAATCGGGTTCATGTCGCTTCTACTCCGGAGATTTTTGCAGCTTCGCTTCCCTGAGATGCTCGTCAATCACACTTTACAAAATGTTGATTGCACCGTCGATGGACCAGGTGCAATGGAGTATGATGAGAGCTCAGCAATGTCCCTTAACTTTCCATTGTCGCGCTGTTTAACTCGTCATTGTGGACATCTTCTTTCTCCCGCCCTTGTTGCTCTTCTGACTCTGCACTGTACTTACGCGCCTCCAGCTCAACCCTCTTCATTGGGAACCTCACCTCCTGCATGGCCTCCAATTGCCCCGCGAGCCTTTCCTCCGCCGAGTCCCTCGCGGACCGCTTCTGCGCGCTAGCGTCCATAAGCACCTCCCTCAGCTTTGCTACGACCTCCCTTTCGGCATCCACCTCGTCTGCATTTACTTCCAGCGCGACGTCCACGTCCTCCACCGCGGTCCTGAGCGTTACTTCTGCGTCGAGCACGTCGTCAAGTGCGAACACAACAGGTACCAGCACCAGCACCAGTACGACCTCCGCGGCGGACCGTGCACAGGTAGCCTTTGCGTTCGTCATGGGCGCGGCAGCTGCGTTGGTCGGCATTGCACTCGGGTGTTGATGTATGGCGTGATGGGTCTATACGTTCGAGGCGTTGCTCCGTTGCTCGTCTCTCTCTCTCTGCCGATGCTTTCTCCGGACGATTCGATAGCATCGGCAGACGGTCGCGCCGTAGCACGTTTCGGCCATTGTGGAAGGGGTTGAACAGACAGTCGTCATGCACGGATACGGATCTACCATACCTATATACTGCGCGATAGGGTTATCCTCGGCCAGCTCACGATCAGATTCACGGTTTTCAGCCGTCGTTTGCACGCCCCGTTTTACTTGTACTTTCTTCTAGTCCCTTTCGTTGTGAAATGCATTCAGCCAGACGCTCGTTTTGCTGTGCTGTGTGGACGGAATGACTACTCGGCGTGTTGATGGTTGACGTCTCTCTTTGATTCCATGGGTTCTTGCTGATAGCTACTTGCGTACGGTGTTGAATTTGTCGGTCGGGCGCTCCCTCGCGGGACACGGATATGTGATTGATTTGATACCCTCTTTACACGGCGAGAGCTCATGCATGGATTGATAGATACCCCCGACCAACCGAACGTCAATACTCAACGACGACGTCATCATCCACCTGCATCTGCACTTGCCCCACACCCTCCTCCTTCGCCTTCGCCTCAGAACTAGCTTGAGGATTATCTTTGAGAATCCGGAAAGCCGGACATCGACGGTCATCCAGAAGATTCTGAGCGCTACATACTAGCTACACGCCCTACCTCGCTGGCGCTCCGAGTCTTCTTGTGTTAGCGTCGCGTGGATCAGTCGGCCTAAGTCCGCAGGGAGATGATGTTGATGTCTTCATCCGACTTTTTGGCAGCCAGCCACGTTGTCTGATTCTAACAGGCCAGATAGATCATGAGAGAACATCTAGAAGATGATCGCGAGGGCAAGCAAGGGGTAAGGACGTGTACGGCACTAGGTTTCTCCAATGAGCTTCCATACTGTGCTGAAATGCTGCACTGTCCACCAGGCATTTGAGAATGGTGATCTTTCAAATAATGATACATACTTGACGATGCGCGCGCATCATGATTCATGAGCTTGGGTGAGTAGCGAAGTGTTCTTCCGAGTTCTGATCGCTAGCTGAGCCACTATGTTGGTATCTATCAGTTGATATCAAGCTGAAACAACAGGGGTTTCGAGCACCGGATGTCTAGCCGATCGAATTTCTGCCGACTCAATTCATCTTCTTTCTGAGAAGCCTACTCAGGCCAGCACGCATTCCATCGCCAATTTTCTTATCCACCAGCATATATCATGAGTTCTGATCGTAGCGAGCTTGACTTCAATTCAACCCCATCCCTCGACGGACAGAGTCTGAGGGCTTCTGAATAGTCCGCATTCGCTCTCATATATTACTATATATTACAAACGCCCGTTCATTCATGTGGCCGTTTACGCCAAACAATCCGTTCCAGCGTCCGCTGCATACATTGAGGGCACAGTATGACTACATCGTCATTGGCGGTATGGAGATCAAGTCTGGTGTGCGTAGTCTGAATATACTAATGGATGTCCACATCTAGGGGGAACCGGTGGATGTGTTGTGGCGCGTCGGCTAGCCGAAGACAAAAAGAGCACTGTCCTGCTGATCGAGAGAGGCGATGCCGCGGACTCGTGAGTACTCTCGACAATACTATCTGACAGATAATCGTCATCATTCTGGTCGGACTCGGAGCAGGTGGTTTCACTGGATCCCTGCCATCTCTACCCACCATTTATCGGATGGGAAGCACAGCTGGGTCTGCGACAGTGTGCAAGATGATCGCTTCGGCCGGAACTTCACCCTTATTTGCGGGTCAGGTTTAGGTGGTACGAGCCGCATCAATAGCTGTCTCTATACCTGCGGTGTCCCAGCGCAGTACAACACATGGAGCCAGCAAGGACGGTCCGGATGGTCGTATGACGATTTCAAGCCTTACCTCGACAAGTCCGAGCACTGGCTTGGGCCACCACCGAACGAGTACCACGGGCTGAACGGTATGTCATCTGTATCGGCGCGAGCATAAGACTCATCGATCCTCTTAGGGCCTTTGCAAGTGAAATCATTCGAAGGCCATTTCTTTGGCTCATGCGAGAGGTTTGTTATCGGTTATGTGCTTCACGAACCGATTTATGATGACGATGTCGCTCAGAGCGGCTGAGGCTATCCAGCGATTAGGCTATCATGCAATCACTGATATGCGTTCACCGCTAGCGCCGAGTGTTGGCTCTAATAAGATGCAGTATACTATCGATTCAGATGGACGTCGATCGTCCTCATTTCGGGCTTATCTTCCACGTCCCTTCGTAGAGGGGCATGAGAATCTGCACATTTGCGCGAATACCGTGGCATGCAAGCTAGAGTTCTCTGAAGAGAACGATGGGACTGTCCGCGCCGTCGGTGTGGAACTGCAGCCTATCCACGGAAGGTTGACACGCACCATCACAGCTCGACATGAAATTGTCCTTACTTGTGGTGCGCTCCGCAATCCCCAGCTTCTAATGCTCAGGTGTGTTTCTTTATCTGTTCGTTGCAGAAGAAGGCACATTGTTAAAATGCATCGGCAGCGGTATTGGTCCTGAGCAACATCTTCGTGAAATGGGAATCCGCATGATCAAGCACTCCCCAGGGGTCGGACAGCATCTTGTACGTCATATTATCGTATGGTGTGCCTCGATCATTTACTGATGGCCTCCCTCCAGCAAGATCACCTTCTGATCAACACTATCTACAACTGTCGGATGGCCGATTCGTTGTACGGAATCATCAAGCGTCCGAGTATTCTCCTTCGTGAAATTTTCAACTACGTTCGGAAAGGAACGGGATGGTTGCTAGGTACCCTCGTCGAGGTTGAGACATTTGGCATCTCTTCTCTTGTTCAACCGGACGGAAACCTTCGCCCTCTTTCTGAGGAGCGCCTAGATTCGTACAATCCACGAAACCTACCCGACTTTGCGATCATGTTTGTTCGTGAAAACTTCTTACTTCTGGAGAATCATGCTAATCTTGACCTATCTAGACCGCCATGGCCGATCCCAGGCTGCCCGGTGTAAACAAGTCAAAGGGAACAGCTAGCATCAACGTCGGTCTTATGACCGCAAGGTCCAGCGGCCAGGTGTCGCTGCGCTCTTTGGATCCACGTGCCGACCCGCTGTGCGAAATGCGATACTTATCAGCTCCAGAAGATGTCGCAGTGCTTCGTGCAGGTCTCCGCACAGCGGCGGCGATTGCTCGTGAGATGCGCACCGCTGGTTATCCTTTAGAAGCGTGTATAGTTCCTGACACCACCAGCGATACCGCATTGGATAGTTTCATCTGGGAACGTGTAGGCACAATGTACCATTACTCCAGCACATGCCGCATGGCCCCGCAGGAAGACGAGCATCCCGGCGTCGTCGACGACAGCTTGCGTGTGCACGGCATCCCGAACCTGCGTATCGCTGATGCCAGCATCTTCCCGGACGTTCCCGCAGCTCACCCGCAAGCGCTTGTCTATGCTGTGGCTGAGAAATGTGCGGACATGATTCGTCGGGAAGCAGGCTCTTTATAGAGCTGTCACGTAGGTAAGCTATCAGTACTGCACTCTGCCCTTGAGATTGTCTGAGCCGGCTTTCGAATCCTTTCGCAGTCTTTTTTCTTGGTATAATTCTGAGGTTTTCGGCGTGCTATTCGAACCCTATCTGGTCCATGCGCCCCGTGCACTCTATAACGACTGTCGCGTGTGTAATTCTCGTCGAATTCCGTTACAAACTACTTCCTACATGAATGAGTTCCATCACAACGCGAACACGGCATGAAGGGACTGCAACGGTGCAAGTAAAATATGTGCCAGCGAATAGTATACCAGAAACAACTCCAAAATGAGCACTGAACGCAGGCAGTTAGTACCATGCACTTTGTCTCCTGACCAGCTGATAATTACCATTTAACGGCGTCATCATCAGCGGCAACTGCCTGCATCAGCACAAGCGCAGCATTCTCTTCCTTCACTTCTGTACTCTCCCGCTTCCTTCACTCTCTTCATGTCGGGCCAATTCTTGGTTGCTATCTAAAGCTCGTTCATCCGGTTTCCCATCGAGAGTCGCGACGTACTTGTCCTCCTCGAGACTCTGCGAAGAAGAGACCGCGGACTCGTTTGGCACCTCGAAGACCTCGTGTTTGTGGTGTTTTGGTGGTGCGTGAATCTACTGCCGCAACACGCTACCGTACCTTTATTTTCATCCTACAGCTCGCCTTCTATGTGAGAGACCGCATTGAAACTACCTGATTGCATTATATCGGATGCTTTTTTTTTGGAATAAGGATGATGCTTCCTGTCCGATGCAACAGGAGACAGACGTCGGACATTCCGACCCCAACGAGAATACTCAGAAGCCATCTGAATCTTCTCCAGGCGGAGTTGAAGATCTTGTTGAGGACACATGGGCAACTACTGATTGGCCGCATCGATTCAACCATCGGTCAATTGTAGACCGATTAAGGACATAAATTGGTCCTGCTGCGGGGAGAATCGTCAGATAATGACCAAATACGACCCATACGTCTCATATGTTCGCGTTGGCATTGGCAGCAGGATCAAGCAGTCGACATATGAAGAGCGAAAGCTCATCAAAGACCTCTAACAAATCAAAGGAGTAGCCTTCAACTGATCTCACTTGCAAGCGCCCCTGCAAGCATTGAGCCGCAATTCTGGCTCTATCACGGAGGCGCACCGTTCACCCCATGGTATTTCCTGATCCAGTGCTGAGCCTTGTCGAGGAAATGCTTGATGACGCTGTAAGACCATTCGAAGCATACCCGCCGACTCCACGCAGCCTACTGCGCCGAAACGCCATACGTGAGTGACATGCAACCGGTGATGCGGCTCGTTTTATCAGAATTTAACCCACAAACGGAAAAAAAAACAGGCTAGTCCAAAATGATTGGCATGGACGTTATTGCTGGTCTGCTATTTTTCTGTCCGAGAGACGATGGTTAGATATGGCAAGGATCCAATGAAGCCATCTATTTGAGCCAATCACGTCAACAAGCAACCTCCAATGTGTGAAGTTAGAATGCATACGCATCTGCGGCGTTGCCTCTCCCAAACAACAAAATAGTGCTGTCCTCATCTTTGGTAAGTCGGCGCGCCACAGCGCGCCCGCCGCTGCCCCTACACGTAGACTATCGCGCATAGAGTATATATCGGAAATTTGATCTCCCAATCTTATGCCATAACGAGATGATACTGTAACGGTAAGCGAGACGCTGGTATGATTGTCATCGTGTACGGTCATATGTGTCACCTGGTAGATCAGCACCGAAGTGTGAACGGAAAAAAAAAACAGAGAGTCGCCTACAGCGGTGATTATTAGCGGAGGTCCATCCGACCACAAGTATCAGATTCAGTGCAACGAATGCAGCAGCCGTATTGCAACCAGCAGTAAAAGAGCCTGAAAAGTGGGATGGATTAGAAGGAACGCGAGGAACCTTGGCTGTGAGAACGGGAGGATTGAATTGTTGCGAGAAGAACGAAGCATTGTGTTTCAGAACTCCAGAAGGCATACTCACATAAATCCACCAGAAGGAGCATACGGCGGATCATAGTTCAAATTGGTATTGCGCCATGACCTCATGGTTTCGCAGAGTGTGATGATGCGCTTAGCGATTTCATAACAGAGCAGGCGACATATCAGTCCTTGAAATTTGTTGCCTTGACTCTGAACGTGCGCTGTAAAATTTGGAGTCTCAGTGGCATTTTTGAAAAAACAGTTGTACGTGCCCAACTTAGAAGCTTATCAGTACGTGCTAGCCACCGCAAGATCACTCAGGCCATTAACTCACATGATGGAGCAAAAACTCTTTCTGAGAACCTCATGGTTCATGATTGGCCATCTGTGTACCTCGGAGAGATTGCAGAAGGACTCATGCATGGCTGAATCCTGCGAGACGTAATGAGAGGCGTGCAGCCTGCAGCCATGACCGGGTACAAAAAGCGCGGCGGATTGGAGACAAATCGCCTCGACCAATTCTAAATGAGTAGATGTAGATGAGAGTGAAGGCCGAGGCATGGATTGTCAAATCGAACCATCGACAGCATCTCGGGATCATCATTCTTCCGACCGCAGCGCGAACACTGCCGTTCTCCGCCTGCACAATATGAATGTGGGACAACTAGAGCTTCTAGAACGCATGCGTCGGTGCGCATTCATGATACCTAGTTGTGGACGTAGGACACGTAGGTAAGACCGCATCGAGGGATTGCAACAGACCAGCTAACAGCATTTTCACGATATGTGCCAGAAAATACATTAAGAACAATTCAACGAGCATGGAAAAGCAATACAGATTCAAGCAATATCACGCACTGTAAGTCTCCAGACCACCTGAATGCTAATACTCGACAGCGTCCTCATCGTCCGCCTGCATCTGCGCCTGCCCCGCACCCTCCTCCTTCGCCTTCGCTTCCTGCTCCCGCTTCCCCTCCTCCGGCGGCGCCTGCTGGCCGCCACCATCATCCACGTCCATCTTTCCCTCCTCGTCTTTCTCCTTCGTCGTCCCGTTCTGCTTCTCCTCGGGAATCGCGACCTCCTTATCCTCTTTCACCTTCTCCGAGTTTTGCTCGGGTGCGGACGCGGTCGCGTCGGTCACCTCAATGTCCTCGTCCTGCGGCTTCGCTGCGGCCCTGCTGCGCGCTTCTTCCTCCGCGACGCGCTGTCGTAGCCGGGTGATCTCCGCGATTCCAGCGGTGCGCTCCGATGCGAACGATGCCCATTCTGCTTCCGTAGCGATGTTTGCCTGTGTTTCATGCGGAAAGGGTTTACCTGTGTGAGGTTCAGAGGCTCGACGAGATTTTGGCATACACGTACCTCTTCCTTCCTCTTCTTCAGGAACGCCTCCTGTGACGGCAGTAGCACTGCTGGGAGGTAGTACAGAGGCGGCGGGTGCGTCCGTGGTGGCCCCGCCAGGGCTGCTCGTATCGAGCTTGCAGGCTGTGCACCGATGTAGTCGGTATCCATGCTGACGGGAGCATCCGTGGGTGGTGACGAAGGCACCTCGAGCTCGAGAATGGTATCGGATGTGAGGAGGAAGTTAGCGAGGAGAGGAAGGCGTGTCCGGCGTAGTTTTTGCTGAGGGAGGGAAAGTTAGATACGCATGTAGAAGCATGGTGAGGTATCGCTGCTGTTTGCAGACGAGGTTGTGAAGCGGGAGTGGAGAATGAGTAGACGTACAATAGAGTCTTTCAGCTGAAGCTCCTCCTCCCGCCGGTTCGCAGCCGTCTTGTCTTTCTTTGCCTCTTCAGCACGACGGACGCTGTCCGTCTCCCTCCGTAGCTTTTCCTGCAGCCGATGCTCAATCATCTGCCGCTTCTTCGCCTATCCACGACATCATCCGTCAGCACGCCATCTCATACATATAGTTCATCGACTGATACACGCACCGCCTCGCTCTGATTCCGCTGGCGGTCCTCGTTCTTCGCCTTGGTAAGTGTGCCCACGGCGAGCGCAAACATCGACTTGCCACGCCTGCGCTGCTCGCTGCCCATCTCGATTCGCGGCCGTTTCCTGGCCTTCTCCTCTGGCGGCGGGGCCTGTGGCTGCGTCACCTCCATCATGGGCGTGTCTGCGTCGGGCGCGACGGCCGGCTGTGGTCTAAGTCAGGAGATGGATGAGCTCGGCTCTGCATGCGCACGATGCATGATTAAAAAACGCACGATTCTGTTGCCATAGCGTGTATTTTGTGGGTATGCAATGAGAAGGTGAGGAAGAGAAGCAGAGATGGTGGCCGTGCGATACAGAGGGCCTTTGGGAGGTGGCGCGTTTCAGGCAATAAGAAAGACCCGATAACAAATCGTAACAAACGTTTTCAATGCTTATCTACGATCTATTACAAGCTCGCTAGCGCCCATCATCTCTCCTTATCCACGCCTTCACCCTACTGCACTCACTTTTCCAGATATACATTTCTTTCATGGCTCCCAAAGCCGCCTCGTCGTCTTCTCACTCGAAGACGACGCCTGCTTTCCCAGGGAAGACACACAAGAAGCCTGCTGCGAAGCCAAAATCTCCCCTGTCCGACGCCGACCGCCTGAAGCGTCTCTTCACCTCGCTCTGCGCGCAAATCGACGGCGCGCACTTCGCGAATGCGCTCAAGACTTGCGACAAGAGTGCGTATATGCGTAGTACTGGTATAATGTGCGGAAAGCGTTGACGTCGCACGACAGTTCTGCGCATCGACTCGCGCGATCCCGATGCGCTGCAGACTAAGCTTTTCCTGCTGTTGCAAACGGACCAGTATGCGCCTGCTCTTGCACTCGTGGATAGTCTGAGGGAGGGGCAGACGGACAAAGGGAATGCATTTGACTATGAGAAGGCATACTCGCTGTACAGACTACATCGCGAGGACGAAGCGACGGAGATCGTAGGTGCTCTCAAGCGGCAGCGGAAGGCGGAGGATGAGAGCAGGAGCGCGTTGCATCTTGAGGCACAGCTGGTGCGCACGCTTTCATGCATTAGAAGGAAGCCCGCTCAACAGATGACGTCTTCGCTCCCCAGGCATATCGTCAGGGAGACTACCAGACAGCATTCGATTTGTACAACTCGCTGTTGGATACAGCGGAACCGGTACGTCCTCCCACTAAGAAGGCCATATCGCCACTTTCTCACCAGTTCCTTTAATAGCACTCTGACGAACAAGCCGACATCCTCACGAACCTCACAGCCGCACAATCGCATCTCGACTTCCTCACCTCTGGCTACCTTTCTGCGCTCTCCGCACTTTCATCTGCAGTTGCCGAATCGCTCGAGTCGGCACCGCCGCCCGCCGCTCCCTCCACGCTCCCCTATACGGCACGCGAGGCAGAACCGCAAACGAAGGACGCAGGTGAGCCGCAGCCCAAGAAGCTCCGCGCGCGGCGCATACCCAAGGGGGTGGTGCTTGGCGTTACTCCCATGCCTGATCCCGAACGTTGGTTAAAGAAGAGCGAGCGCTCGAGTGCCCAGTACGGACATGGCAAGCGGAGGAGAGGTGGTGGAGGTGGGGCGACGCAAGGCATCGTGGAGACCCCTGTTGCGCCACCCGGGGGAGGTGGTAAGAGCAAAAAGAAGGGAAAGAAGTAGATGAAAAAGGGTCCGAGGTGGGTGCTGTTGTCCGCGTTGTCGCAGGAAGAGGAGCAGGACCTGGACAAAGGCTGGCAAACACGCGTTGATGTCGTGTTTTCTTCGCCGCTTTTGACGTATGCACGGAAGATGTCAATGGCATTGTTGTGCGTGTCCCGCGGCGGCGTGCTCGCAGGTTGCGATTTTTGATTGACTTTGTGGGGACTTTGAAGAGCCGATGTGAGGCGGTGAAATGGCATGCGCTTCCTGCAGAATCAGGTAGTTCTCTTCTCTTCAGCTGGAGCCCCCACCGTCACGAGAAGGTGAGTAGACTCGCGTGCGGCAAAGAACGCGGGGTCGCTGACACGCATTCTTGTTTCGTCTTCAATGTCCGCCGAGGTCATCATGTTCGCACAGGGATGTTGCTCGTTGCCACTCGACAAAGGTGATTCGAGAAGTTCATGAGTACAAAGGCGCAATCACCTCCGCCGGTTTCCCTGCATTTTCCGCTTGCTAATAATCTGTGCCTGTCGCCCTGTCAGGTTGCATTGCTAGCGCTGAGGCTGCAAGGCCGGCGATGTGGTACCACCGGCCTTAACTACTGCGCCTTGCGATTGGAGAAGGATGCGCGCCGCCAAGTAGGGGCGTGCCTTCCCTCCTGCTCTTAACGTCCCCGCGCACGCGCTAGAAAGCACGGGCTTGAAGGCCGTTGCGAAAGCGTTTGCAAACAAAGGCAACTTTTTGCGATGGTTGGTATGGTTCGTGCATGGAAAGTTCTGAGGACATCACTGAGTTGCCCGCGGTGGTACCCAATGTGATGCTAACCGATGTCACTTCGGTGCACGCCTAGACTGCATCACCGGCGCGTGCACTCTCACAGTGCACGTTTTCTCAGCGAAGGTACCCGGGAGGACGGTTCAATGCCGTTAGCCTCATGTTGCCACGTGCTGGTGGCGGTTCTACACGAAATTGTGCAGACCCGAACGCTGGACATCATCGGCTGCGCGATATTTCTGGCATCTTCCATCATGGCGGTCGGGCTAGTGTCCCCTCTTGGTGACTGCCGCCTCGAGCGGCAGAAGAGATCACTTACGGTGTCGCCGGTGTTGATGCAGGGTCGCATAGAACGGTCACGTGCTGCACGGACGCCGCCAGATACGCGTTTTTTCCTCGTGCTAATCATAACAGCTTCCTCAGATGCGTGCGTGACGGGCCCATTTGTTGTCAGCGTGGCCGTTTTAATTGGAGCTGCCGTCGCTGTTTGCAGAAAACAAAAACATGGGAGGTCACGCTCGGTTACCTCACATCACCTTCGCGCCCTTCTTCATTGTTACAATTGCAGGAAATCCTTTGTGTGGGCCAAGTTATTCGCACCACTCGCGCTTCTCTCTCGCCATGCATTATGCATTATATCCACGCCCTGTGTCATATTCACGTACCACAACAGCATCTCGTAGCGTGCAGCGTTACACCCCCTGACATCGGGAAAACGGTCACATCAGCTGGCTAAGATATCCGCCCTCGTTGCCCGAGCTCCGCGAAACTTCATTTCTAGCGCCAAGAACACGCCTGCGCACCGCGTCCCTCCACAGTCTACTCCGCTAAATGGTTCCTTTCATTGATTCCCTGAATTAACGACAGCATGCCGCGTGGCAGCTCGGTATAAAGTGTCGCTGCTCATCAGCTCCCAGCAGCCCGAGTGTTTTGCTCGACGATCTATCTGACGATCCCCTTGATTCCCCCCCCACCGACAAAGCAAAATGTCTCATCGTGAAGTTCTTGGCGTTGTCGTCCTCGCTCGCAATGGTGACCGCACTGAGGCCTACCAGGACCCCATCACCTACCAGCCTGGTCCCACCCTCAGCACTCCTCTTGGCGAGGTTCGTATCCTGCCAGCTCATCATGTCTATAATGCTCACCTACGCGCCCATTCTCAACATAGGCTCAGGCACACCAGCTCGGTCAGTTCCTGCGCGAGACGTACTTGAACAGCGAGAACCCGTCGCACATCCGTGGCATCTCCGCCGAACTCGTCGATCTCTCGCAAGTCCATGTCCGTGTCAAGGTTGGCTCTGAGGGCCCCTCCGTCTTCGACTCGGCGACTGCCCTCCTCCAGGGTCTGTTCCCGCCCAACCCTGCCAACCGCATCACCCTTGCAAACGGCACCACCATCGTGGCTCCCCTCGGCGGATACCAATACGTTCCAGGTATGTTGTAGGCTGCTCTGTGAAATTGGATAGCGTGGTTGACCATTGTGCTTTTAGTTGAGACTGTCGAGCCCACTAATGACAGGTCGCTCGAGAGCTGGACTGACTGCCCTGTAAGCTTCTTTCTGTCGGCGATGGCCGACGGGCAAAACTAATCGTCAACTGGATAGGCTTTTGACAAGCACGTCGAGAAGGTCCAAAAGTCGCAGACATTCAAAAAGCTCGCAGAGGGTGCACAGCGCTTCCTCAACGACGTCCGTGACTTCGTCTTCGGTACCGAGGTTTCTGTGGAGAACGCGGTATGTACAATACCTGTGTCTACTGGTTCTGTTACTCATTTTTCCTTGTGTTCATAGTACAACGTGAGCATCACACGTAGCATTCTATGATCGACAAACTGACCCACAGGCGCCAGGTCTGGGATTACATAAACACGGAGCTCACCCACAACAAGACCTATGCGCACCGTCTTCCGCCGACGTACATCGATCAGGCCCGCTCGCTGGCGAACACCCGCGAGACCCTCGTCTTCTCCGATCCCCAGCTGGCTGGTGTTGGTAATAGTGCGTATCTCAGATCCCACATGATTTCGGGCACAGCTAATCGCTCTATCTGTGAATGCTTATCTCAACAGTCGCGGCCCGCACCGTGCTCCACTCCATCCTCGGGGCCCTCCAGCGCGTCGCGTACAACGATGATCCGCTCCAGTTCATGCTGATCGAGACGACGTACCAGCCCTTTATCTCGCTGTTCCACATGACCGGCGTCCTCAAGGCGCATCCGGAGCTCGTGGGCATTCGTACGTCCACCCACCTCCTCACGTGAAGGATGCCGGCCATTGACGGGCTCGCTTTCTGCAGCCAACTACGCATCCGCTCTCGCGATCGAGCTCCGCCGTGGGCGTGCGCCGGACGTGCGCGACTTCCTGCGCTTCAAGTTCAAGAACGGCACCCAGGATGAGGACTTTGAGACGGTTCACGTGTTCGACCATGGCGAGGACATCCCGCTGACCGAGTTCATCTACTACCTCGAGAACTCGGTCATCAACAGCAACCGCGAGTGGGCGAAGGCGTGCGGTGTGTCGTCGTCGTCGTGGTTCGGCATCGAGGGCGGGTCGGACAACTCGTTTGTCAACGCTGGAGCTGGCGCGCTTCTCGCCGTGGTCATGATGTTCGGCCTCTGGCTCGTGTCCAGGTCGGTCAGGAACCTCAGGCGCCGCAATTACGTCCGCCTCGAGGGTGACGATGTGAGTTGCCGCACGCACTTGTCGAGGGTCGCTCTCGCTCACAATGACTGCCACGCACAGGAGACGACCCAGGTCCACAACGAGAAGGCAATGCTCCTCCAGAGGGCCTAAGCACTCCGCCACCTTCGTCTCGGACAGTTCTCCTTCCACGGTGTTACCTCCGATGCTTCTATTTCTACGGGCGAAGCCCTCGGCGGACTCTAATGATTTTCACGCACACACGAGATGCCTTAATGTAAAGCTCTTCACCGGGTCCTCTTGTATGTACAACAGTGGCCACACCTGTAGTGTGTATGCGAGAGCCTGAGTGGATTGATTCATGATCCGTATAACGTCCGCCGCGTGTGTGAGGAGTACAAGTACAGCAACGACGTGAGAGGTGGAAAAGGAGATGAAGATATATCAGATCATGAATGAATAAAGCATGAAGGAGGCATGGAGTAGGCGTGAACTCGTCAAGCAACAATGAAAATGGAAGAGTACCCGATGAAAGGTGTAATCGAACCCATGAGGTGTTTCGCGTCTCCGTAATAGGATAGACGATAGGTGCCAGCTATATGAGTTCAGCTTCTGAACACTCAATTAATACCTTCACTCACCAGGGATGCCGGGCTCGATCACCCTATGAACCGAGTCAGTCCTACATTCACGAGCTTGTGAATCGAATACCCATACCATGCGATGTCCACAGTACTGACGCCGAACAGCTGTCCACAATGCATCAGCTGGTAGGTCGATCCAACAGCAGAATGTATACTAACCACGTTGGTCCTTTCCCAATGATATGTCGTCGATGGGTGCGAATCTGATCTCACGGGGACCCATTGCTCGTCCATGAGCCTATCGACCGTCAAGAACGTCTCCTCAAGACGCAAGTTATTCTGCGGTTCAACACGATCGGCATAGGCAGACGTATGCTGAAAGAGAAGCACTGACCCTCGGATTCGCTCTGGCAAAAGTTGGTAAGAGGAAGCGGTCACAAAAGCATGATCGTACAGAACACTCACCCTACGAACTGTGCTGCCACCCTGTCTCCAGCATGGTATGGAGACTCTGTGTTCACATCTATTAGTACCTCACCGAAGCTTTTCGACAGAGATGGATTGTCTTGTATTACGGGCAGCTTGAAGGTATCAGTACACGCATATGCATATACTATGTGGAACTCTGATAGCTCACCTGCAATGAGATCACTTTGCTTGTCAAGTCCACTGGCGCCGGGTCAGACGGTGGGGTTCCCGTCGCACCCGTATCGAGGTACGGAACCAACTTGCCGTATTCATGCATGTACGCGTCGAGTGTATCTAGATGGGTATGATCATGCACTGAGCACACAATCAAGAGACAAACAGCTCACAAGGCCCAAATATCGTTGACGCGCCCTCATAGCGTTGCACGGCATACTCTTCGCGCGTCGTGACGTAATGACCGTACGTGTTCGCGGGGCCTGCGACGACGACGTAGGCATCCTCGCCGAGCATGCCGGAAGAGATCAGTTCCGAGCGGATCGCCTCTCTGTACGATTTCACGCATGAGCTACACTGATCGGTTGAGGATGGTCACTGGACTGACCGCATGCGCCGCCCAGCCATAGTCGTCAGCTCCCCGGGCATGATCAGCATCACGAGGTTGCCGACGCGCAGTATCTGCGCGTCCACGGTATTCGGCGACCATGGGTATGGTTTGCGCGCGTACCCCTGCAGGTCGTGTTATCAGATTTGTTGCAATTCGATGAGCACGATAGGACACACCGTGTCGAGAAGGATAGGCTTCGGATAGTGGCACAAGATCTGCTCCGGGGGCGACGGGGGCGTCACCGCATCTGCGAACATGATCGTATCAGGAGTCAATGACACGCGCAGTACGAAAGAAAAAGGCAATGGCCACCCTTTACAAAGTCCCAGAAAGGATTACTGTGTAAACGGTGTTAATCGAACAATGCTGTGTAAGATATGTAGTACCAGAGTCTGCTCACTGCGACGTCGAGTTATCTCCCTGGATAAAGTCAAACTTACCCGGCCCGTCGCTATTATGCTCAGTTAATCATCGATACAAGGCTGAAACGCTGAGACCCACGTGGTCCCTCCAGCAAATGAGAATCCTGGTAACACCTGAATGAGATACAACCATGCACGAATGAAGTATGGCAACGGACCTAGCGCAGCAGGACATGTCTGTGCCTTCGTACCGTCCGGTAAGGCAAAGGTACGGAACGTCCTGCGATTGCACAAACGTTAAGATGGAGCAGAAATCAGCACAGTGCGACGAACGCACATGTCAAGGTAAGCGTGCACAGCCTTTACCGGACCGACAATAGGGGACAGTTCCTGACCCATGAGGGTCTTCGCACCGTCCACTTGTCGTTGCGCAATGATCCGGTTCGACTCGAAGTCGGAGATGCGGAAACTGGGTCCTCTGACGTGACGATGAACTCGTTGAGCGGCCTGTGCTTTAGTCTGCGCTGGTGCGATTCAGCGCACCTCCCACGACAATCCTGTGTCCGATTCCCGCATGTCGAGTGTTCAAAATTGCACGGCTCACCGTCCCAGGGTTTCCCAGGACTCTGGCAGACCGCTCCTAGACTGGATACCAGCATGACCACAAGTCGTTATGAGTGGCAAAATCAGGGTGCTTACGTGTTCGGACTTGTGTCACCGACGTTTGCTGCACGATATGTCAGTCGAGCGCGGATCAAGAAATACCCTGCCTACATTGAGTGAATCCTGCTACAAACGTAGTGTTGCCTGGCATTGCTGATGGCTCGACCATCGCTAATCCATTGTGTCAACACACTTCTCAGACCTAAAAGAGAGATGCACACCTTCATAGAGGTATGCAGCCATGCCTTTATTATCGCCGCTGACGAGAGTGTTATTCTAATCAAGGGATCAGCCACATTGTGACGCTACCGTAGCCCGTGGAAGAGGTACTTCACCTGATACAGGCTTGTCCCATGCACCGGGAAGAAGCTCAAGAATCCCCTCGGATTCCCATCGGTATCGTCAAATCGCAACAGCGTCATCTCTTTGTCGACATTCCACTCATACCGCGCCCTTTCCTGGGGCGGGTTCGCCAGGTACGCGCTGGGAGATCGGTTGATGTTCGCGTCCAGTATTGTGGTGTTCCCAAGGCTAAGCTTCCCCGGGGCCATGCTTGCGTGTGCGAACTCGACGGCGCGGACAGTGCCCTGGACGATCGCGTCCGCAGTCTGCTTGACGTAGCCGAGTGAGGTGATGTGCGGCAGCAGGTTCTCGAGGTACCCGCCAACGCCGGCGTGAGAGTGCGTCGCGACCAGTGCGATGTTCGCGTTTGTGTAAAGTCCAGGATATCGCGAGGAGAGCTCGGAGACGATCGAACGGCGGATGCCCGTGTCGCCCATACCGATATCTGGCGCGACTCTCAGTGATATACTGAAGAGATGAGGTCGAGAAAAGCATCACCTGCGTTGATGAAGACGACTCGACTGTCTGGTTGGGAGGCGTCGGCGATGATCCATACGCGGCTGCGCTGCCGCATGTGCAATCCCGTGTCAATTTGGTGTCCATCTGCGTATCCCTTGATGATGCCTCAGGGTTTGGTTATTATACACCACATTCCAAAGCACATACCATCATGTTAGTCTCGACAACTGGGCTGCGGAGATATCCTTGCACGTCAATCTGATAGCTAACGGAAGTAGAGCTAGGTTGCGTACCCTGTGATGTCTCCGATGCCTGGAATTGAGACGGTATCAGAGTACGCTTTTTTGTGCGACAGTTAATTTGCTTACCGAGGCCGAGGAGGTACTGACCAGGGACCACTGACATGGTCAGATTTCGCTGCATCCCAGAATTAGGCATATGCAGGGAAGTGAGGGCGGTCAACCAGAGCAGCGCTTTGCTAGATAGTTCCGTGAGGGACCGCGTTAGACCCCAGATGTCCGGGGTCAACGTAGATGGATCAACGATATACATCTTCTTCCAACACACTTGATGGAGACTTCCAATCTGCACGTTATGAAACCGCTGATGAGTCCAGAGCAGTCCACAGAGAATTGTAACGAAGCTGCTCGTACCTGAAAGACCAGAACCAAGCTGTATGAATTGACGGTGAAAGTGATTAGCTATGATTGCTGTAATCTAGGCCGCACTGCCGCTGAATCTCTTGACTTTGGTGGTTGAGCCCGGCAGCTGAGGGGAATAATCGAGGACAGGAGAGGGCTTTGAGTCTGTCGCTGCAGTGAAAAATCAAGCTCTGTCGAGAGCTACAGTCCCCACGCCGACCTTGACGATGCGTGCAACTCTATAGGATTTGTCGCACGCGGTCTCAAAGCAGCAAGCATCATGCGAATGCAAGCCTATCAATAGCCACGTGCGTATCCCGATCTTTTCGGCTCAGTGTGGCGCTCAGCATCTCAACTTCTTTCTCTTATGCCAGTACTCATAACATCTCAAGGTGTCTCAAGCTTCTTACATGACTTTGCTGGTACGATTGCAGATGAACTATATTGTCACAAGGCTCAGAAGAGTGCAAAGGCTTATCACGGACCGTGTAGCATGTCTGCCGGATCTCTGGTGCAAATCATTGACATGTAGCGTGGATATTTCACTTACACAGAGGTCATCGGCGTATTTTTGCTGTAAGTTCCAATTGGTACCTTCAGTTATCGTACTCTGCGCTGGGTCGCTGTGAGTCTGAGCTAACCAGCGATCATTGATTATAACTTGTTGCACAGCAACAGTTCTATTGAAAACGGTAAGAGGAGCGAAAGGACGCCAACATAGCAGACTTGTTACTCTGAAGCTTTAGCTTGAAACCTCAGCGCCGAAACTCAAGACAAAACGGCGTCGCGACTGCAGCACTGGCACCGCCTATGATAATCTGGCAGTGACAGTTCAGCAAGGGCGCACCGGCTGGTGCGGCTATTCGTCGGGCTTTCCGTGGTGGCTTTGATATCCTGGCTGGCCTGACTATCGCTGCGAACGGCTGCACTGTACACTCACGGTTCTACCTTCTCATGCCGAGCTGCCAGTTCAAGCCACTAGCTGTACCTGACGAAGGCATTTAGTGGGAAATGCTCTGGGATCTAGTTCTGCATCCTTGAGCAGAGATACCAAATATAGCATAGCACGCCATCGTGGAGGTCTCTGTGTTACCTACGAATGTGGGTCACGAGGACATCGAGCTGATGTATGTGCTACATATACATGCGACCAATAGGCGAGTTGAAAAGAAGCTCTCACGATTGACGTGCTGATTCCAAGCTTTAGCACACCAAGACAACATTCAGGAGTCCATTACCATATACAGGCTGTGCATGCACACCTTGTTATGTGCTGCGCAACGGCGTCCAGAATTATATTCACAGATGCGGACAATGCATATGCCGGATTCATATCCGTGTCCGAAAGATCTGTACGACATCTGGCAGATACAGGTCGGACCCACTGATTCATCAAGGACAATAGTATTTTGGACTGATGGCGAGTCAGTATCAATCGTCTCGAACAGGTACTAAGGCTCGCGGGAGCAAGCCTAGCCCTAGATTGTGGCGGATATATTGCTTACCCCCATGCTTTCGAAGAGCCATATTGCGCTCAGGGACAACAGTAGTTCACTTGCTATCGTATAAGAAGTCTTCGCGGCCACATATGCGATCCGGCACACGACTATCCTCGCCGCCAGGATGCCGCTCGCCGTCCGCTTGCTCGCCGCCCTGTCTTTGGGTCTCTCCATAGCGGGGGCTCCCTCTGCTTCCTCTCTCTCTGTCGTCCATGAATCTCGCAATAACGTCCCTGCAGGATGGGCACCCGTGCGGCGTGCCGAGCCGGATATGATACTCCCCTTCCGCATCGGCCTAGCGCAGCCCAACCTCGAGAACCTCGAGGCGTTCATTATGGACGTGTCTCACCCCGAGTCACCCAATTACGGCAAGCACTGGAGCTCCACGAAGGTGGCGGAGACTTTCCGTCCGAGCAAGGAGACTGTCGACACTGTCCGCGCATGGCTCATCGAGAATGGGTTGGAGGACGACCGCGTCAAGCTCAGTTTCGGTGGCGGCTGGCTAAAGGCAAACGTGACAATCGCGGAGGCGGAACGCCTTCTAGGAACAGAGTACTACGTCTATCAATTTGGTGATGACGAGGATTACACCTACATTGCCTGCCATGAGAAATACCATCTACCCGAGCACGTGTCAGAGCACGTCGAGTTAGTGACGCCTACTTTGCATTTCGACGTGAAACCCAGGCGGTCGCCAGCCAAGTTGGAAAAGTTTGAGAAGAGAGCTGCCACCTCATACAACTCCTCAGCGCACTCCGTCGGCCAGCCTGGTTTTGGCGTCAGCTTCCCGAAGACATCTGGTACGATCCAGGTACGTTCGAACGATGGCGGTACTATTCCGCATGTGAACTGACATACTCTTACCACTGTGAGCAGTCCATCATATCAGAGCTCGAAGACTACGACGAGCAGATCGTACCGGACTGCTTGCGCGCGTTATATGACTTCGCGTATGTACATGTTTCCGATGGCAATTCAATCGCTATCGGTGAGTCCGTGCTGTGAAGGCGTCTATGTCATGTTCCCCTGACAATATCCTATTCTCAGTCGAATACACGCCGCAAGCCTACGTCCCCACCGATTTGGACATGTTCTTCGAACAGTTCTCGCCAAGTCAAGTTGGTGAGAGACCAGTCCTAGACAGCATCGACGGAGGTGAGTGTCCCTGTCATCACCTGGAATATCAAGTAATTTCATCTACATCGACGGCCACGTAGGCTACGTCCAATCAGAGTATACGGGCTTTAGCTACAACGGCGAGTCGAACCTCGACTTACAGTACGCCATGGCATTAGTCGGCGGCAGCCAGCCAGTCACGTTGTACCAAGCTAGAGACATAGTTGAAGGTACCGGCTCTTCCTGTTGTTGTTTTATTATCCACGGTAAATATCAATTCGTCCATCTAGGGGCATCTTTTAACAACCTGTTGGACGCACTCGATGCTTCTTACTGCACATACGACGGCGGAGACGATCCGGAATATGACGCCATATATCCTGATCCCTACGGCGGCGGTTACGAAGGTACACTCCCGTATACCGATGGACCAACCATTGTCTAATATATTCTTCCCTGAACTCGGCAGGCCTATAAAACTGTGGCACAATAATACCAGCTCATGTGATGTCGACGTCGTATGCATACAACGAGGCGGATTTGACACCGGCTTACGAACAAAGACAATGCGCCGAATACGCCAAGGTCTGTTCTATAGTGTTAATTACAGAGCTGTAGTCTCACGATGTCTGTCGCACAGCTTGGCTTGATAGGGATGACCATCTTGTATTCCTCCGGAGATTATGGCGTTGCGGGAAATGGCGGTCTGTGCTTGTATCCGAACGGCACTCAGGCTGTCGGTGCTCCAGACTTCAACCCATCCTTTCCAGGAACATGCCCTTACATCACAAGTGTCGGCGCAACTCAGGCCAATCCCAACTCGACGGTAACGATCCTTCCTAGACGAATGTACTGGTTGCTCATCCCGGCTGTTATCCAGGTGTTCGAGCCGGAAAGTGCATGCGAGCAGGTTATCTATTCCGGAGGTGGTTTCTCCAACGTGTTCGCGATGCCAATCCTACCAGAAGACCGCTGTTGAAACCTACCTGGCCGAGTACCCTCCTCCGTATCCGCCGACCATGTATAACTCTTCCGGAACCTCACGTGCCTTCCCTGATATCTCAGCGAATGGGTTTGTTCCTTTTACACCGTCTCTGACCCCAACTTATAGAGGCTCGTCCGACAGCGCGAACTACGTCGTTGCCATCCAAGGCGAGTTCTATCTGGTATACGGTACCTCCTGCTCTTCTCCGGTCTCCGCGTCGATTTTCTCCGCAATCAATGACGCCCGGCTCGCAGTCGGAAAGGGACCGATTGGATTCATCAATCCCACTGTGCGCATACGTGACTGGTTGATGAGCTCATACTGACACGTCTTGACAAGATCTACACGGCAGAGTTCATGGCAGCCTTCCATGATATCACAACCGGCACGAATCCTGGCTGTGGCACCGCTGGCTTTTCGGCGGAGCCTGGCTGGGACCCTGTTACGGGAGTAGGCACTCCTAACTTTTCGAAACTGGTCGCTTTGTGGCTTGCACTGCCGTGATGTGGCTTTTCCAGTGACAGTTGCATTCGTGGTAATCGTAGGCCACTGCCAATGAAGTCTGCAGTCGCAGTACAATCGTGGTCTGAATTTCAGGCGAGCCTACGTGACACAATTGGCCGCCTCTGTAACGATCATCTGACTGCTGAGGCGGCGACGCGATGTATGAAAATCGATTCGGTTTCGCTCTGGTGAGTTTATTATTTGCTCGGCGCCTTGGGAGTGGCTAGCTTGCCCTGCGATGCCGGAATTATTTTATCCGTTGCATGCGTCCAACGTAATAGAATTGAGGCGTACTGAGCGAACGACTCGGCCAAGTGGTCCTCACTGTCGAAGGACGTATGAAGTGTCCTCACTGTCTTATAATCGCTTAAATGGGGCGGCGCATAGTTGTAATGAATTGCTTTCCTATCTGGGTTGACCTCGTGGCCGGCTTTGATGGTATCGACATCGACTAGAGCCTGTCGTCTGTGTACTTTCTCTCAAACCTCCAAGAGTCAAAGTCCTAGTTCTTCCTCATCATACCATTCTCATGCCTCCAGCTGAAAACATAACCCGCGCCGCTGCACCATTCAATAAGCACAACGCCGATGTCATTCTACGTACCTCGGATCAAGTCGATTTCCACGTACACAAGGCCATCCTTGGCTTTGCATCACCCTTCTTTGAAGACATGTTCGAGCTGCCACAACCGTCACAGGCGGATGAAGCTCAGAGTACCTGCCCCGACACCGGTCTCCCGATCGTTGAAGTCACGGAGGACAGCGAGACGCTTGATCTCCTGCTACGACTCTGCTATCCGATCGATGACCCGCTGTTGGACAAACACAAGCCCCTCGGACGCCTGCTGAACACTGCGATGAAGTATCAAATGCAAAGGGTTGTAACACAGTTGTTGGGTGTCCTCAAAGCCATGGTTCCCCGAGATCCGTTACGTGCTTATTTCATTGCATGTAGCGCCTCCTTAGAAGACGAAGCCCATTCTGCAGCGATTGCTTTCAGTGGGACGCTCGATTACTTCCCGTTAATGACGTATGGAGCTACTGCGGGAGCGTATTACCGCCTTCTTTTGTTCAGAGACACGATCAGTCCATCCAAATCCCTATTATTCCGAGTTCCAGAACCACCATCCTTGGATACAACCATTCCGCCCTCGGGGAAGCAATTTACGGTCCCAGATCCATTCAATCAACCATCGTTGGGATCGGATATAGTTCTGCGTTCTTCTGAAGGCGATTACTTCTTCGTTCACAAGACTATCCTTCGAATGGCCTGCAACTCCGAACTTGAGCTAGCACAACTGTTGGGACAATCCCTTTCTACCACTTATGAAGACCGCGAGGTTGTCTCGCTCCCTGACACCAGCCAAATACTCTGCCTATTGTTGCAGCTCACATATCCCGTTCAAATTGATCGGCCAAGTTTTCCAGTGGACGATCCTTGGGTGATCTCTGAACTATTGGCTTCTGCAAAGAAGTACGGCCTGACTCGGGCTGCTCAGGCTATCAGGACGGAGTGGGAAATGATGCTGAGAACCGTCGATCCGCTCGGCTGCTTTTTCGTGGCAGTAAGGCGGAACTGGGATGGGTATACTCATAACGCTGAATGCTATGCCGCAATGACCTGCACCATGGATTCGTACCATCCACAGATGGAGTTCGTGCCACCATCCGTGTACCGCGCGTTTTTGCGGTACAGGTGGGATATGCGTAAAGCCGTCTATACAGAACTGAGAAAGGAAGTAGACGAGCCATTGCAAAAAAAGGAGGTCCACAGATCGTTGTATTGGGGCGACCATGACGGGTATCTCTCGCGCCCGTTGATGCGTGCTGTCCTTGACGGACTGTGTTTACTGAGGCCTTCCTCCGACATATATACATCAGCCGGTATGCGGAGCCAAGAGAAATCATGGAGTCAATATTTGGGTCGAATCACGACCATGCGGGACGCCGCCTCCACAAACGGTTCCGACCGACGCACGATCTCGCAAATAGAGGATGATATCAGAAGAGCATTCATGCAGGCAAGTATCATGTGAGGCTCACAAGTGTGAGTCAATGTTAAAAGTGCCTACCCTACAGGTTGACCCCAAGTTGAAGTTTCCGGAATTGGATCCGTCTTGAATGGAGATAACGTCAAATGCATCTGTTGTTGAGTGGATATTCATCCTCGACATGGTGCCCGCATTTTTGTAGCAGTCAAACGGAACAGGAGCGTGCCTCTTTTTTCATGGTTTTGTCTCATTTGTTCTGCTATCGTCTGCAAACAAGAGCGCTCTGAATATTGTACCATTACCGTTGACGAACCTGTATGCACCAATATATCAGAATACGATGCTGCTGATGTCGTACGAAATGAGCGGACTTTCATGACGTATTGCAGTACGGACTTACTGATCTGTTGTAGTAAGGCCGTTGGAATTAGCAGCAGTTGTGCGCTCCCCGGAGGATTTTTCATTCAAAACCTCACCCACATATTGGCCAACACCCCCTATAGAGACGGTAAGTTTGAATATACGACTGACGGCTTTCGATGACACTCCTCGAAAAGCAGTTTCGTTCATCGCAATACCTTCATGCAATATCTCGCCCGAACGCTCTCCTGAAACACGCTTGGATTCTCCATTCGTATGTTCATAACTCGCGGTAAGTCATCCTGCGTTCAGACAACGCCGTCAGCACCTGCGACGGAGGATTCGATTCAAAAATTCTTGACCTCTCTCGTTCCGGTGTATGACACCCAGCGTGCAGGTTCAACAGTGCTGTCTGTTTGTCCACAACGCATCACTTTATTCAAGCTCTTACGACGGAAAACGATGCTTACGCTCAAGATGCACGGCCCCACATTCTTCGATATTTGTCTCTGGGAGACCCAGCCTCATGTCTTGACGGCCGACTGCAGAATCAGTGAGATTCTTTGAGTCGGAGCATTTATTCCATAGAATCCCGCATTCATGATTCATGACCGCCAGCTGTTCATGAGACGGTGGAAGGACATTCTAAGCTCATTATAGGTGAGTAGAGGTTCGTTCGCGGTGCTGAATCGCCTGAAAATACAATGAGGATGTGGTCAAGCAATCCTCTCCCGTGCGAAGGAGGCTCCGCTGGAACATTGAAGGTCAGGCAAGACGCCGCGTGTTGAAATGACCATCACCGATCGGTTCTGCCCCGAACCTCAATCTAAGCGAGGCTCGTGGCATAAGATCAATGTTGATTCTCGAGCACGACGTTCTTCACCGCGTTCTTCCTTGCACCTCGCCCTCCCACTGCACCTTCCGCCAACATGGGGCAGACCGTACCCGCCCTCATGGATCCTGAATATATGCATCGGTATGCGGGCCCGCCATTCAATGACAAGGATGCCGACGTCGTCCTGCGATCCTCGGACAACGTGGATTTCTACGTTTACGGGCAGTTCCTGAAGTACATGTCTCCATTGTTCAGTTCCCTCTTCGACCAAACGACGTCGCCGCCGCCTCCATGGGGGAGGCCAGAGCACTGGTGCCTCCCGGAGCACAGCACGACGCTCGATCCGCTCCTGCGCCTCTGCTATCCGCAGGAAAGCGTCCAGCTGGTGGACTGCATGGTCACGCTGGAACTTCTCAAGGTATCGGAGAAGTATCAGCTCCGGAGGATGGTCCTGAACCTGAAGAAACGCCTCCGGGAGCTGATCAGGGCCGAAGCGAACCCGTTGCGTGGATTTGTGGCCGCATGTGGTGCAAACCTGGAGGAAGAAGCTGCGTGGGCTGCCCAGGCCTGGAGTACAGCGCCGACAGCACCGAATCAGGGAATTGTGGCATGGATTCCAGAGATGAGCCAGCTGACAGGAGGGCAGTATTACCGGCTCCTGGAGTTTCGCACGCACTTTCGCCGAACTGGACGGGCCCTCGACAAATCCATCATTGTTCGTGCTGCCGACGTCGTGAAAGAAGAGACACCAGACATCGATATGCACACCAATAGAGCAGCGCATCCGTTCGCGCTCCCGACAGAGACGACGGACCTCGTTCTGCGCTCCTGCGACGGCGAGATGTTCTTCGTGAACAAGACCGTCGTGACTATCGCAGCACCGAAGATGGCAGATATGTTCGATCAGCCCGACCTTCCGTTGCACCAAGATTATCCAATCGTGTCTTTGCCGGAGAAGGCGCAGGTAGTGCGTTGCCTGTTGGAGGCCGTCTGGCCAACAGTTTCCGCATGCACGCTGGACGCGGAAGACCCATGGAATGTAGCGTTGATGCTGAATTATGCTGACAAATGGGGGATGATCAAGGCGTCGACCGAAATCACTCACGTGTGGCAAATGGCGGTGGATAGCCTTGATGCGTTTGAATGCTATCTTGCAGCGACTAGACGCGGTGGGTGGGGGGAGGAGGCCGACACATGTATGAGATACGCCTCAGCCATCCGCCATACGGACAGGCACAGCCTCCAGCTGGAGATCGTCTCCGCGAGTGTGTACCATCGTTTTCTCCTGTACCGCTGGAGAATGCGATTGGCAGTTTTTGAAGAGTTAAAGAAGGAACTGCCGGGGGATATCGGGGACGAACAGGTGGCAAGGCAGTTGCTGTATTGGGCGGACAATGACAACGATTTCGCGGGGACACCGGACGTGATTCCTGGAGCTGTCTCGGGGTTGTGTCTTTTGATAAGTCGCAAATGCGATGCTTCGTCCGCTCTTCGGCGCATCGAGAGAATTTGGACACAGCTTTTGACGAGAATCGCTCTTTTTGCTGCTCATATCACCGAAGGGCGGGCGCGTAACGTTGATCAGATAGAAGCTGCGATCAAGACAGCTTTCAAGCAGGTGAGGTTAAAGAAGCAGCGAGTCGTATTCTTAATGAAAATGTTGATGACATCTCTAGATCGATCCAGGATGCCCAGATGATGATGGGTGAACTAGTGAATATTCACGGACCGTCGCGGAGACGGAATGAACGGATCGCGATCAAAGGGCCCGGTGCAGAGATCTTGTGCGAAGGCCACATGTACTGATCCGCCGGCTCATAGCATAGGTAATGATGGTCCATCAGTGAATATGTACTGCAATACAAAAGACAAAGCTATGGAAATGTAAGACTAACTGCAGCGATAAGCTTGCGCGGAACATTTTCAGCAGGATTCGTCCAGGAAAAAATTCTTGGGCATCCAGGCGATCATAAATTCCACTTGCTAATGTCAAAACGTGTAGTATATGCGAGCAGCGTTTGTTCGCAGACAAAGGCGTCGGCGCGTCGGTGGCGCCTCGACGCGTCTAGTCACGTGCGGTGCGGTGTTGTTGGATGGTCCGTGCGTGGGAAAGGCCAAGCTGGGAGAGAGAGGGGTGGGGTGCTGTGACACGCTCTCAGTCGCGATCTGTCACCAGCACATTGTCCGTGACGCCGCCGCTAATCATGGCGTTCACTATCCTCTCCATGGCCAACGACGACGACACCCGCAAAGACATCGTCTTCAAGGGAAAGTCCAGCAGGTTCTGGCCGCACCTTCCCCCGGAAATTATATGGTTTGTCGTCGCTAGTTCGACCTGCGCCACGATGGCCTGACATTCGCCGTAGCTTGATCGCCACATTCCATCTGCTCAATACCACGGCGACAGCATCGTCTCCAGCATCATGGAACATCATTCAGCTGTGGCCGTCTCGCTTGGCTTTCAACATGTTTCGCGAATCGCTCGAAATGGAGAAGCTGATGTGGATTTGTCCACAATGGGCGCTAGCGCGTAAGTGTCTGCCACCACTGCCATTGTTGATACCTTTTGCGCGTGATACACATCGATTTCTTGCTCCTGGGGCATTGTTGGTATATCGTTTCCTGGAGCCACCCACGTTGCCGCACGGGCAGCGCGAGAACCAGTGGTAGTCGCTGGCCGGGTCGGAAGACCAGCTGTGACCCATTGCCTCAAATACGTGATCGTCGCGTCGTGATCTTTGCAATGGGTCTGTATATGTGCCGATCAATTAATGCGGCGCTGTGAGGCGATGCCTTCCTGCAATAGACCATGCTACGCTCATTGATTGCGACTCACTCGCGCGCTTTAACGTCACTTCAACACGTCTTGATGGGTTCTAACGCGTTCTAACTTTCATACAAACACAGTTGAAAACCATCTCTTCTGGCAGCAAGCATGTAACGTGATTGACCCACTCGACTGGTTAATCCATCACTCGTTTGTGCGCTCGCCGACGGGCGGTTCCACAGCTACGGCCTACGTCCGCGTGTCCGCCTGGACGCATTTTCGGCAAATGATGAACAACTCGTGTGTTGTGTGCCGAATCAACTACCCTTACTCCGTGAATGGACTGGCAAGCGCAAGGCGCGCTGTTTTCACGCCACTGCTCGGGACTATCACCACCTGCAAGGACCACCGCAAAGGAACGTACTGTGGCATCTGCCTTCGCGAATGTCCCACGGTGGAAAGTGAAGAGGAGTACACGCGGGGCCTTGCCTTCTGTTGTGTAGTGAATGAGGACGACGAGACTTGGCCTCGAGTGGAGGCGAATTGTCGGTCGTGCCGCAGTGAATGGCTGTGGCGACGAGCGCAACATACTGTGGTCGATCGCGAAGCGCTCGGTGGTCCGAAGCTATTGAGCGAAGACTGGGAGACACGGCAGGCGGTGGATGCATTCATCGATCTGGGTGAGGGCAAGATTAGAGACGTCATCGACGTTGCCCGTGACAAGTACTGGTACAAGATGAATACCAAGTTGAACAACATGCTCGCAGAAGCCCTCGCCGCATCAAGGCTGCAGCAAGGCTATGGAAGCGATGAGGAGCTGAGTGAGGACGATGAAGATGACCCGGAGCTGATGAGCATCACTGAAGATGCAAACCAGCTGCGCGAATTCGCAATCGCTGACTATGCGCGGAACAGGATCTTGGATGGACATTGGGTCACGCCGCTCGATATCTGGCACAACAACGAGGGTTGCCAAGTGGTCTTGGAAGCACGACACCCATGTCCTTGGAACCACGCAGCCATCTGGGATGGCGCACTTGAGGCGGGAGAGACAGAGTTTGACCCAGAGGGCGTCGAGTTGATGCACCCCCGGCCTAAGACAGTCAAGGCAATGCTGCCGCCATCGCATGACTTGTGCAAGATGACCTATCAGGTGCACATTACAGTGATGCGCGATATCCTCCTCCCAGCAATGAAGAACATCGTGCAGAGGCTCAAGGCGGACTGTGCGGCAGATGGGCTTGACCCATCGATCGTTGCGGCCCGGATGTCACTCGACGACGTCGCGGAGTCTTTACGGAATGAGGCGGTGTGGTGCAAGGAGGTTGACTGGCAGGAGCGCGCGCGCCTGCGGGAGAAGGATGAGGACGAGTTGTCAATGTCATCGCGTTCGGGCGGGTCGCGCATGACGAGCCCGGTGCTGTCGGCGACGACAATTCAGACGACGCCGTCGCCGCCGCCGAGTGGGAGTGCAAGCGGAAAAGAAGACGAGAGTATGGCATCACCGACGTCTCACGCATCGAATACCTCCGAAATAGAGAAGTCAACTCACAAGTCCCCCTTACTAATCCATCCTATTCCTTTCATCCCCATCTCTGTGTCGCAGCTGCCAGAGTTCAGCTTAGACGCGTTCCGATACGTACGTGGTACCATTTCTTTCCATGTGTGATGAGTCTTACCTCTTCTTCCTCTAGGTATGGCGCGAGGCGAGCAGCGAGTTGTATAGAAACTGCTTGTGCTCCGTATGTACCCGTCAAATGGGGAGGGCCGCTGCTTCTCATAGCATGGCCATGGAGATAACGACACCGTCGCAGCCTCAGATCCAGGAGGTCATGCAGATTGAGTTAATTGAGTCGCCAATCGTCCGTGAGCTGCTGAGAACAGAAGAGGAAGAGGAGGAGGAAGAAGCAGAACAGGAGCAGGAACAAGAGCTCGCAGAAGAAGAGGAAGAAGAGGGCGAGTCAGAAAAGGACGACGCGTCTGTCGCGGATGGTTCCCCTATTCCAGTCACGCCGCCGGATGTCTTCACCGCGAAGCTCCCTCCGCTGCTGGTCTCGCGCAAACCTGACGACGCTCTTATCACCAAAGCCCTTCCGGTGATAAGCTTACAGAAGCGTCCTGCCGTCGATCCGCCTGCCACTGCCGAGAAGGTACTCATCAAGCCTCGGCCTTCACGTAAACGCTCCTCGGAGGAGCTGGATGAAGAGGCATACGCCGCCAGTGGTGAGGAGGATGAGCGTCCACGCACGCCTCCGAAGCGATCAAGGAAGGAGGGGGCGTATACCCCGGAGACGATACCGTTGTCGCTGCCTACACCGCCGCGTCTGCGCAAGAGATCATCGGAGGAGCTCGAGGAGGATGAGAGGATGCCGAACCGTGATGGACGAACCGAGAAAAGAGCAAGGAGTGAAGCGCGCTTGGAGACCCCAGTGCATGCGTAGACCTTCAGGGGCGTTATGCCACAGTCGTTGAAAAGGACATGGAATGCCTGAGCAAGTGTATGGCGAACTGAGCTGGCAGGGGCCGCGTGGCTCCCGTGCGTCGAGGATGTCATGTCAGATGCTCGCCAAGAGTCAGGGACCCGGCGTTGGAAGGAATTAATTTGAAGCTCCGTTGCGGAGCGAAGTTGAGCTGGACGAGTTGAACTCCGTTGTATATCTAATTGTGTTTCTTTCTCTCGTCAAAGTTTGCATATCAGCACGATTATCGCGCCATTCCTATGCCCCTCCCCTTTCCCCAAATCTCGCTATTCCGATTGCTTTCCGAGTTGCCTGAGATCGAGACGTTGACTGAATGCTGATCCGGATCGTAAATGTAGACGACTCTTCTGTGCCAAACCGTTGCAGTAGATCTCAAAAGGGACTTGTATTAGCTGTACATCACGTACAAGAATTGATTGGAATTATCATCCCGTGTAGTACTGGCGCTGAGGTGCTCTGCCGTTTGTATGTAGGCAGAAGAGATTTTCAGCTCAACGGAAGTCTACTTTGCGCATATTGCGAGAGTATCAGACTTCACGAAACATATTCCGCCTGCATGGCATGTCGACATGGCACGGTACTGTACCTCTATTCCGCACGCATATTACTATGATCTCTGTTGAAGACGAGGCCGCGATGTGTCATTGTCAATGCACAACTGACTCGAGTCCCACTAATCCCTCAGAAATGCTACACTCAAACGAAGTTCTACTGCTATGATCTGAACCTCAAGGGAGATCCAACCACAACGCGACTAGCTTCGTGAAGTTTGGTGTGCCGACACCGGTAACAGGATCCCAACCAGGTTCAGCGTAGAATCCCTCAGTGCCACATCCTGGGTTCGACCCATTGGTGATATCGTTGAATGCCTCCATGAACGTGGATGTGTAAATCTGCAGGCATGCTGACCATGAGCTCAATGGCCGACAATTTACAGAAGAAACGCACCGTTGGGTTGATGAAGCCAATAGGACCTTTCCCGGCGGCAAAGCGCGCATCGTTGATGGCAGAGAATATGGATGCCGAGACCGGTGACGAGCATGATGTACCATAAACGAGATAGAACTCTCCCTGGATAGCTACCACATAATTTGCACTATGCAAAGCTTCATTTAGCAGCGCCATCCAAGGCTTTGTGCTGGAAGGACGCACCCATTCGCAGAGATATCTGGGAATCCTCGCGAGTTTCCGGACGAGTTATATATTGTTGGCGAGTATGGAGGTGGATAGTCAGTCAGATACTTCTCAACGGCAGTCTTCTGATAGGACGGCATGGCAAAGACGTTCGAGAATCCGCCGCCGGAATAGATCACCTGCTCGCAAGCACTTTCCGGTTCGTAGACCTACTGATCCTTGAGATCATGTTTCACAATCAGAATCGAAGTGTTTGACGCACCGTCGACCCTGGATTGACTTGGGTAGCGCCCACGCTGGTGATATAAGGACACGTCCCCGGGAATGATGGGTTGAAATCCGGAGCGCCGGCAGCCTGAGTTCCGTTCGAGTACAAACAGTAGTCGCCGTTCCCTGCAACACCATAGTCGCCGGAGGAATAGAGGATCGTCATACCCATCAAGCCGAGCTATCAACGAGATCATGAAGCTGTTATTGGGGACGAGTGCACGCAAAGAGGCTCTACAAACCTTAGCATATTCGGCGCATTGCCTTTCCTCATACGCTGGAGTCAGATCGGCCTCATTATATCCATATGATGTTGACATCACATATGCGGGAGTGACCGTGCCGCACGCTTCCGGACCTGATCATGAAAAGATCGGTCAACTCCATCGACCACCAACATGAATGTGGAAAGATGCCATTTACGTACCCTCATAGCCACCGTACGGGTCAGGATATATGGCGTCAAACTCCGGATCGTCCCCTCCTTCAAATGTGCAATAGGAACCATCGAGAGCGTCAAGAAGGTTGTTGAATGAAGCGCCTATAACCATAAAGCGGAGATGAGCAATCATGCGACGGTCATGTTAGACATCAGACGCACCTTCCACGTCATCTCCTGCTTGGTAGAGCTGAACAGGTTGTGTCTTACCGACCAACGTCATCGCATACTGTAGATCCAGGTTCGATTCGCCATTGTAGTCGAATCCGGTCTGATTGGTTTGAATAAATCCTGTGGAACGTTCATGCCTACATTTCATCTTGATCCGGTCAGAAGAACGCACCGCCATCGATACTGTTCAACATAGGTCTCTCTCCGATCTGACTCGGGGAAAACTCCCCGAAGAACATGTCGAGATCGGTGGCGACGTATGCTTGCGGAGTATACTCAACTGTCGGTGCATTTCTATCAGTGAAATTGTTGAGCCCTGCTAAGGTGAGTACAATGCATACCGATGGCAAGGGCCCTCTCGTTGTCGGAAACAGGTGTATAGTTGAAGCTGTAGAGCACACGCAGGCAATCTGGGACAATTGCATTAGAACAATTTGCGAGTTCCGATGCGATACTCTACCGCACATGCGGTTATAATAGTCAGAATAGCCTGACTAGAACAAAGACAAACTAACCTCCAGCGTGCCCGTAGTCTTCGGGAAAGTGGTGCCGAAACCAGGTTGACCGACCGCATGGGCATTTGCGTCCTCTTCTGCTCCATTTCTCTTCTCGAATTGCAGAGGCGTTCGTTTCGGCTTGACGTCGAAGTGTAACGTCGGTATAACCAGCTCGACATGCCTCGAGACATGCTCAGGCAAGTGGTATTTCTCGTGACACGCGACGTGCGTGTAGCTCTCATCATCACCGAATTGATAGACGTAGTATTCCGTCCCAAGCAGCTGTTCAGCTTCCTCGATGGTCACGTTGGCTTGTATCCATCCTCCACCAGGGATGAGCTTGACATGGTCCGGCCCCAAGCCACTCTCGAGTAACCACGAGCTAACCGTATCGACAGACTCTTGCGTTGGGCGGAACGTCGCAGCGACCTTCGCAGGGCTCCAGTGCTTCCCGTAGTTTGGAGACTCGGGATGAGAGACATCCACGAGGAATTCCTCGATCATATCGAGATTGGGCTGCGCAAGGCCGATGCGGAATGGTAAGATCATGCTGGGCTCTGCGCGGCGCACAGGCGCCCAGCCGGCGGGGATGTGGATGCGAGACTCATGAACAACAGGTAGAGATGACGCTGACGGGGCTCCTGCAACCGAAAGGCCCAGGGTCACCACGATAACTAGACGGGAGAGGAGCAACATCTCAAATAGAGGGGAAAAGTCCGCACCACAAGGCTCAATCAAGTTGGGGCGTTCGGCGATTTATATCTGCTGCTGAATGGGCATCTCAGATGCCGTTGATCCTGACCTATATTGGGCGCATCATCGTGGAGGATGAGAAGAGGCAGTACATAAGCGTGACCTGACTCAGGCATGCTCTTGAGAATGAGACCACATGGAACAGCAGAAATTCCACACGAATCGTTTTGCGATAACACGTACAGAGGCCTAAAACTGGGCCGACATAAGCCATCCGTGACATTGAAAAGGAACGTTAGGAACGGTACATGCTCATGCTGCCAATGTTGCTGCAATACGTACCTCCTGCAAATCTAACAGCTGCGCGGTCGAGATGGCAATGCCGATCTGAGCTACTTGATAGCCGAGAAGGACTTCAAAGCCTGATGAATCCATAAGACGAGCATCATCAGCGTTCCCATGGCGGGAATGTATGCACGGTATAGGTGTCCTTATCGTATCGCAAACGATGTATCCGCTGCCAAGCAAGAAACCAATATAGAATCAATGTGGATAGGAATTCGCAATAGAAAGTGCACATCCATGCACTGAGAAGTAATATAGCAACAACACCGCCTCGAGGGATACGCGCTTGCAATTAGTCCATCATTCGCGATGCAAGAACGTACAGGCCTTTTTTTGAAGACGCATCATCTCACGCCTAGCGGGTTCACAGCACGATGTTTTGCGTGGCAGGTCGGCATAAGATGCCGTTGCATTCTCGGAGGATCAAACATGATGCCAGTTTCAACTCCGATATATGAATGTGGTACAGTCATCGATCCGACATCGCAAGGGTTCAGTGAGTAGCCATTTTTCCGGTAGCATTAAAACAGAGGGACATTGTCAGCTTCAGGCAAACGCCAGAGACATGAATCAACCAATGTTACGCTCGGGGTCCTTACAGTCATGAGCTAGAGAGCAAGATCTTTCCTATTCAGACCAGAAGTCTACTCGTCCAGAGAGGTGAAGCTGAGAAGCGTGTGTAGTCGATTTGTCCAAAACAGATTTCGTCAGATGCATGATACCGGACGAAGGAACACAACGAGTTCAAGCAGTCCAGGGATTAAGACAGGCTGAAAACCCGCGCCTGACAGTTTCTGAGTATCCAGCTAGTAATATCCACACAGCAAGTTGTATGTTCAATGAAGATAGTGTTGGAGTCCAAGGCATGGGTCGTGTGAACGCCAACGACTCAGATTACAAGCGCCTAGTATAGATAGAGCGCCCGTTAACAGCAAAAGTTTGTCATTTCTAACTATTGCATTTATTGGAATCGAGCGCGGAAACACACCAAGCAGAGTAACATAACAGGCCAAAGGAAATGCAAACAAAAAGTTGTGCTACAGACACAGACGATGCGAACCGCGAGCAATGGTAGTACGTCTCAAGGTACACCAATGCGGCACAATAGTATTGTTCATTCTTCGTGATCAAGCATCATCAAACAAAGGAAGTTCGAGCAACTTAGGAAGGTTAGGTGTGCTGACAAGTACTCAAGACTGGATCCCAGCATGGCTCAGCAGAGAACGCGTTCATCCGGCAGCCAGGGTTGTTGCTGCTGGTAATGTCACCGTTGAACGCCTCTTGGAAAATGGGGGCATAGATCCGCGAACGGCTCTTCAGTCGATACTGACATTCGATGATTGCTCTGACTTACTGCTGGGTTGATGAAGCTTAGGACCTTTGCTGATCGCGAGGCGTGCCGCACTGGCATACGTCGTTGATAGAGGAGAACATGGCGGCAACGGGGGGAAGGAGCACCACGTGCCGCAGACGAGCCACCACTCATCTTGCACAGTGATCAGGTAATTCGTGCTGGATAATGCCACATGAACAGTAATCATGAAACACAGGCTGTAACACCTACTCATCCATTAGCGGAAGGATCAGGAAATGCGCGAGAGTTTGTGGTGTAGACGCACGAGGAGTATGGCTGTGGGTAGTGAAAGGTCGGATTATATCCATCCTCGTAGGTGCAATATGTGCCGTCAAGGGCATCCAGGAGGTTGCCGAACGAGGCACCTATGGCAATGAAGCAGAGGCAAGCAATGGTAATGCTAGCGTCAGAAGTAGCCTCGCCATCATCTAAAACTTGATTGAGCTGAACAAGCAGCGTTGGTCCAGCCGATGTCATCGTGTAGTGAAAGTTCAGATTTGATTGGTCGTTGTATCCGGACCCGGTCTGGTTGGTCTGAATAAATCCTGAAGGAGATTCGTGACTGAGATTCATTTATCTGCAGTGACACGACTCACCACTGTCCATACTCTTCATAACGGGTGTTCCTCCAAACTGGCTCAAGGAGAACTCCCCGAAGAACATGTCGCGATTTTTGGCAACGTACCCTTGTGGGATATATTCAGCTTTCAACGAATGACGCTCAGCGAGCTACACAGCTTACACAAACAGTTGGGATAATCTGCTGGTCCCAGACGGCGAGCAACACCGCTACAATCTGGAGAATATATGGTCAGCGCAGGTCAGATGAGTTTCGGACTAGAGAGGGAATTATCTAACCTCTCGCGTGCTTGCCTCTGGCAGATTTGTCTACAGATTAGCGTTTTGGCAATTTTTGGTTCAATCGTCCTCTTCTCAAGCTGAAGAGATGTTTGTGTCCGCTTTGGCTTGACGTTGAAGTACAAAATTGGCGTTATGAGTTCGATGTGCTTCGAGACATGCTCAAGTAAATGGCATTTCTCGTGACGCGAGACGTTGGTGTACCTCCCATCGTCGACAGACTGATAGATGTAGTATTCCGTCCAGAGCTAGCAGCTGCGGCCTCCTCAATCGTCACATTGGCCTGTGGCCAACTCCTCCAGGGGCGAGCTTAATGCGATCTGGCTCTAAGCTACTCTTAAGGAGCCACGAGTGGACGGTATCGACAGGTTAGGTTACCTAACCTAACGCTCTTGAGAATGAGACCACAAGGGACAGCAGACGTACCACATGAACGATTATGCGATAACGTATAACGTATATAGAGACCTGCGTCTTGGGACTGGCGTAAGCCATCCGTGACCTTGAAAGAGCATGTTAGCGAGGATACATGCTCGCACTACTAACGCGGCCACAGTACGCACCTCATGCGCATCGATATACGTTCCTATACATCTGACAGCTGCGCGATTGTGTGGTTACGAAGCGCTCATTGGGTTCGGGGTGGAGACTCGTCCGGTGGTAAGGAGATAAAAACGATAAGAAAGAGATCGTCAAAGGCCATCTTACCGTCAAGGAGCATCACGACTTCTTCGATGGAACGTATATCGACGAGAGTCGAGACGCAAACGAAACGCTGACGGGTTCTTATTGATCAGTATATCGAAAGAAAATCACTTTCGGTGAGAGCGAAGAAGTGAACAAGAGGACATTCCACGAACGGACTGTTGTTCTGAATAACTGTCATCGCATCGGGTTGGGAGTCGAGATGCCACGAGAGCAGTAAGCAAAAAGGACTTGGAGCCGAAATTACAATCAGGAAGATTGAACAACGGAGAAAGATGACAAATGTTCATCAAAGCTAACCTCTGTCGGCTGTGTCATCATCCTCAACGCCGTGACCTCGGTGAACAGCTGAGCATCAATCGCGGCCAACCCAATCACAGTCCCACATGTATGAACGGCACCCATGAAAATGACATCGTCTTCGATTGGGCCCCTCGCTCGCGCAGCATCTTGGTGGCGTAATGAAGAGCAATCGCTGCCTTAGTGCTATCTGGCTTGCCGGCCATGGAAATGATACTGCGATAGCCTGCGCGCTGCATGGCTTCCGTGAGGTGTGCAGCATTGGCGACGAGGTTCTCGGCTCCTGCAGCTGTCTCGCAAGCAGAGAGGAAAGCGAAGTCGGCATGCCCTAGACGCTCTGTACAAATTAGGCTGGACATGGTCAAACGTCCATCGTGCAGTATCAGGGCACTATCCAGTGGGTTAGGAATGCCTTGTGTTCCGTGACACGCAAAGTGGACCCAGCTATGATTCCGCATCCCATCCAAGACGCTCTACACGGTGCCTGCCGAATCTTGCAATACTTGTGAAGCGATCTTGAAGTGAGACGCGATCTGCTCGATTTTGCAAACCTCTTCTTGGGCGTTGGGGAGTGCTGGATATAAATAAGAGTGACATGCGCCGCTTTGAGACTGACTGACTGCTAATACGCTGATTGGTTTATTCGACGACGGTAACGGTTTAGGTGGCGAAAGAGCGGCCAGCGTGGATGTGTATGATGGTATAACATAGTCAGAAATCTTGTGACCAATTCCACCTTTGGAGTAGTCACCCGCCGCGTGAAGAGGCATGAATGCTAAAATGCTAATCGGACAGAACCACAGGCGAGGAGGATCGGTGCAGACATCGGCGGGCTAGTAAAGAATCGTGGGTGAATGTACCTTGAGGCGAAAAGCGCGAGACTTACGACAATTGACAGGGCCTTTAGGATCGGCTGCACGAGCAATTCCCATAGTTTAGATAGGACATCGGCCAGGGCGCCCAAAGGATGTCCATTCGTGTCCACCATCTTTGCAGGTCTATCATTGCGATAGGGCCATTCAGGCCTTGAGAATCCCAACTGCCGCCGAAATTGCTCCACAGTTTCGAAGCTGATCTTGGTTGGGACGTGCAAAACATCTTGATGTCCCTTTCTCAGGACAAGCGCATCAACGCCATCATAGTAGTTGCGGTTGAGGATGACAACCGGGCTACAGACTAAGGCATTTTGGATTTTGCGAGAACTCTCTGTAATTCGAAATCCACGTGAGCGGATACGTCTCCCCGATTGACTGGAGACACTCCGTAAAATCGACGAAGGCGTGTGTGTACCTGTAGACGGAATCTCCGTATTGCTTGCGAAAACTGGCATCATTGAGTAGGTGGCGAAAATGTCCTAAAGTGAAGGGTCGACGCTCTTGTTGGAGAGCCTTCTGCATTTTTCCTAGGACCTGGAATAGCATGTAAAGGAGAAGGAATGCTTCTCGCAGAAAGTCCAGATATGCAGCATCATCCAATGGCATTTCTTCGTCTTGTGCCCAAAATGCCAGCATAAACAGTCTCGATAGCAAAGCATCCCGCGAGCGGAAGTCGAAGGTGAGTTCTTGATAACTGACTACTTGAGTGTCTAGGTGAATCCATGCCACTTTCGTGGTCTGAGACTTGCTTCTCGCGGCACTATTTTTGTGAGGAGGATGTGGACACCGCGTCATGAACCATGCCAGCGACTGAACTCTGTCCAATGTCTCCACCGCCTCTTCGTACGCGCCCTGTCCTATCAATCGGCTGACCTCATCACGATGCAAACTGAGTGAGGCTCGACTCATCCACCCAGGACGCGAAGGAGTTTCTGTGAACCAGATAGTCCTGAAGAAGAGATCCTCGGGTATTCTATCCATGATGTCAAGGACCTGCTCCAATCCGCTCTGCGCCGGATGAACCACAAGGAATGGCTTGATGCCTTCGAAGAGCTCGGTTGTAAACAAGCCAGCAACCGAAGCGGCCTGCGCCATGACTCTACATACGACACCGCTGTAGCGTACTTTAGTTGTATATGGACATTTCATACCTAGCACACAGGTAGGCGTGGTATTGAGGAACGTTGCCTCGAGCAAAAGTGACGTCTACGTTATGCAGTGAAACTCGATGAGGATGAGACATCACTGGAGAAGGGGCTCGCAGCCATACCAAGTACTATCGACGTTCAGGGGAAAGTTCTATCGGCCCCAAGGGTGAGTGTTGACCGAGAAATTCGGGTTACTTTGCGACTGTTGAACTTTGGGATTGCGCGCTAAGATGCTAAGACTATGCAGAGTGACTCTTTGTACATGTTTGTAGTCTAAGGTTCCTGATCGTGGGCTTTATGTACTAGTAATCCCATTATTGAGTGTTGAGAGAGCTTCGATGTTATTGATGATGGTCGAGCGTTGCAACGTTGAACGTTTGAACGCGAATTGAGAAAGCTATAGCTAATGAAGCGCCCACCGACAGTGCCACTGCAACATTTCAGATTATCGCATACATTCGGAACTGTCCTCGAAATGCTACCATCACAGTCCAAGCACAACCAAGGCAGCCACAGAGTCATACTACACACTCAGACGTGAGTAATCAATGTACATGCACCTGAAGTTCTTCCACACAACGCTGTCGAATCATTTCAACACCTCTCTCCTCGATTCGTTGTCCGCACCTGATGACGATGCCAGCCCCACCAATCCCCGGTCTCCCAATCACGGAAGCAAGAGCCAGAGCGCAAGCAGCTTCACGAAGTTGGGGGTACCAACGCCCGTGACGGGGTCCCACCCAGGCTGAGCGTAGAATCCCTCGGTGCCGCAGCCGGGGTTGCTGCCGCTCGTGATGTCGTTGAACGCGGCCATGAATACAGGAGTGTAGATCTGCAATTCTTCCTCAGTCGGGCTCCAGAAGAGGCTAGCACAGAGTACGCACCGTAGGGTTGATGAAACCAATCGGGCCTTTGCCAATGGCGAGACGCGCGTCATTGATCGCCGAGAAAATCGCCGCGCTGACGGGAGAAGAGCAGGAGGTGCCGTACACCAGGTAGTACTCGCCGCTGACAGCGACAACGTAGTTGGCACTGTGCGATATGACGGTCAGCATTTGCTAGGAGGCAATGGCGAGCAGATCTACCCGTTCGCGGAGATATCGGGGAAGCCACGCGAGGTCGCGTTGTAGATGTCAGACGCGTACGGCGGTGGATATGTCGTCAGGTAGTGCTCAACTGCGGCCTTCTGGTACTTCGGCCTGGCGAACACGTTGGAAAACCCTCCGCCGGAGTAGATCACCTGCTCGCACGCAGATTCCGGCTCCCATACCTGGTCAAGAAGAACCTTACGGTCAATGCATGAGCATAATGATGTAACACGAGGGTTACGCACAGTTGCGTTCGGGTTAACTTGCGTAGCGCCGACGCTGGTCACGTACGGGCATCCTCCGGGGAACGTGGGCGCGAAGATATCGCCGTAATAGTCCTCATAGCCCTCTGAGTCGAGACAGATACCATATTGCCCTGCAACGCCTTCATCACCGGAGGAATAGAGGATCGTCGTTCCCAACAGGCCGAGCTAACCCCAAGGCGTCCAAACTCTATCAAGTCATGGGGATCTGCAGTGACACATACCTTGGCATACTCGGCGCACTGTCGCTGGGCGTACGCGGGCGTCAAATCGGCCTCTGTATAGCCGTAAGACGTGGACATGATGTATGCGGGAGTGATTGTGCCACAGTTCTCAGGTCCTATACCGTAGCGTAAGTAGCGCGCTCTTAGAGACTGTTTGCGTAAGATGCAATCTTTACCTTGATAGCCAACGCCATATGGGTCGGGGTAGGTTGCGTCGTACTCCGGATTATCGCCACCCTCGAATGTGCAGTAGGATGCGTCCAATGCATCCAGAAGGTTGTCGAACGAAGCACCTGAATATGCATGCTCGGTGTCGGGTATTTTGGCACAGCAAAGATGATCGCGTACCTTCATACAGGTCTCCAGCCTGGTAAAGTGTAACGGGTTGCTTGCCAGTAACCAATGACATTGAGTATTGGAGGTCCAGGTTAGATTCGCCAGCGTAGCCAAAGCCACCATAGTTGCTCAGTACACCTAAGGTCCACGGATCAGCCTGTTAGATCCACCGGACCCACAAGGGATAACAATAAAGTTACCTCCATCTATGCTGTCCAGGATCGGCCTCTCCCCGACTTGACTTGGAGAAAAATTCGCAAAGAACATATCAAGATCGTCTGCAATGTACCCTTGAGGGGTATATTCCACTAGAATGAGGTATGAGCGACTACTGTGATTAGTTTCATCTGCACACTGCGTACCAATCGCGATGGAGTTTTTGTCGGCGGCAAAGGGTTCGTAGACAAAGGAGTAAAGAGCGCGAAGACAGTCGGGAACAATTTGCTCGTCGCAGTCCTCCAGCTCGGAAATGATAGTCTGATCAATAGAAAACAAGATCAACCAAGAAGTTCTCCCACCCAAAAATGAGACTTACCGAGATGGTCCCAGACGTTTTGGGGAAACTGGTTCCGAAGTTTGGCTGGCCCACAGATTGCGCGGAAGCGTTGTTCTGACTTCCATCCTTCTTGTCGTACTTGCTGTACTGCACCGGCGCAGCTTTCGGCTTCGCGTCAAAGTGCAGGGTAGGAGTCACGAGTTCGACGTGCTTCGCAACGTCCTCGGGCAGATGGTACCTTTCATGGCACCCGATATGCGTGTGACTCTCATCATCACCGTACTGGTATACGTAGTACTCCGTGCCGAGCAGGCTCTCCGCCTCGTCGATTGTCACGTTCGTCAGCACCCATCCGCCACCGTAGCTGAGAGTGACGCGTTCTGCCTCGATGCCGTTGTCGACGAGCCATCCAATGACGGTGTTGACCGACTCCTGCGTGGGGCGGAACGTCTGCGCGACCCTGGCGGGACTCCAGTGCTGGCCATAGTTGGGCGAGTCGGGGTGTGACACGTCCATGATGTACGACTCGATGTTTTCGAGGTTCGGCTGGACGAGACCGATGCGCATGGGGAGGATCATGCTGGAGTCGGCGCGCCGCATGGGCGACCAGCCGAGAGGAACCCGACCGCGCGTTTCGTGGACGACGCGAGACGATGAGAAAGAGGCCACCCCTCCGATGGAGAGGGCCAGCGACAGCGCGGAGAGCATACGAGTGGCAAGCATGACGGACAAGGGGCAGGGCTGCACCTCTGCTTGCCCTAAGATGACAGGCCAACTCAGCGATGTTTTTATACTCTTTGCGACAACTGGCACCGTCGACAGACGGCTACGTCTGACCGCTGCCAAGGACACGCGCGTTCATCTAGGCTGATGGAACCATCGGCGCGACGAGTGTCTTGCGTAGAAGCGAGGATGTTCGGATGTCTGCTCATACAATCAGCAGTCGGAAACGCGTGGTGCGCCAAGGCGAGTACCTGTGGCAGGAGATTGATTGACCTCATAAACACTGCCGACCCATAAACGGCCGACAACACATGAGCATCCCTGCTCGAGCCTGCTCGAAATCGGTGATAACTCACCTATGTGAGGGCCGTAGTTGATGGCTTACTGATCAGCAGGCCGACCAAGCCCCGTATTGCTGTCGATCTGGCCATATCCCTAGCGTGTATCACATATCCGAGTCAGATATGAGGATGATGTAGTGTCATAACCGGCCGGAAGAATATATCTTTCCACATCAGCTTCTTCCGAGGCTGGTGACAGGAAACTCCGCGCGTTGACAGAACGGCATCAGATGAGCAGCAAAAATGCAGCACAGAGAGGAAATCCTTGTGTTTGGGCCTTAAGGACACTGTGGGCAGCGCATGCCATGACTTTGACTGCTCGTTGGGCTTGCTTCGACATGGACAAAGTTGAGGTGGATAAGCGCTCGCTTTGAGAGAAGGATTAGCGTTTGATGGCGACGACGCGATGGCTGTATTCGGCCTAGCATGTCCCTTTAGTCCTGCCACGAAGGCCTGGCTGCTCGCGTGAGCGACGCTTGAGCCTGATCACTACATTCCCTCTCGCAATCCCCCTCCTCCAGGGCTGTAAGCCCCCGAAAAGCATACCGTCAACCACGCTCGAGTGCAATTGTTCCTTTTCTGGGCTGGATGATCCTAGAGCTAAGTGTCCGATCACAATCTGTAAGGCACTAATGGTTCCCCGGTGCCGCTCTTTGGCCGCTGTTACGTTAGATGCAGAGCTTCGACTCATATCACTGTCTGCTCCCCGCAAATCTCTCACCCGGCGGGTGTTCTCCGTGGCCGCCTGATGGTGCTCATGGCACCAGACGATCTGTATCAGGCTCCAGGTCGACGCAGAAAGCTCATCAATACAATTTTTTGGTACAATCTACTCACTGTCGACAGTTGGCCATGCCTACGCCTGTTCTCGGCTGCAACTGGATGGAGAAGTATGAGAATAGTACTGCTTGTACGTAACACAACAGTGCACTACGTGACCTGCCCTATGGTATGTACAACGGTAGCTTTGCAATGACATGCATGAAGCCCAGTCGATGCAGTGGGACCTCGACTGTCGTCTCCTCTGATACTATGTTGCTGCGCTTGTTGCTGTTACAATCATGATCCAAACGCATGTTGTAATGATACTTCGTTGTTTTGCTCACATGTCTACCCGTAGTACATGAGCAAAAGTTACTCACATCCTAACAGGCATGCTTACAGCTGTACTACTGATAAATATCACATCATCTTTATGAGGTTGTACGTTTTAAATGCGATGTACTGAGAGACAATAACCTCTTTGTTGACCAGAACAGGCATCAAGGTTGCCTTAAGCGGCATGATCACGTGACTGACCTGTCCGATGCGCGTAAGCCAAGCACCCATCCATGTTCTGCCCCACTATACGCTGCTCCTTGACATCATCGAGCACCCATCACCCCGCTACTTGCTTTCGTCACGCTCCATCCCCGCTTTTTGAGCCGCATATAAGCAGCATCGGAGTTCTTCTTGGCTGGTTGCCTCTTTCTTCCTAACCTGCATCGTCTGCTGCGCTGGCCCCTCGACCAAACCTCGGCAACCAGCCTTTTCGACTGCCTTCCTTTCCGTCTTATTTGAACAGCTCTGCTCTACTCCTCCGGAACTGGGCAGCATTGGGGACTTGCTACCAACACGCAGCGCAATGGTGATCAAGGCAAACCCTCGTATGCAGGAACATCGGAGCCATGCTGGAGCATATACCTGAAGGAGACGATCAAACGAGAGGCGTGAGGAGCATAATGAAGCTGGTGGGTATTGCATTTATTTCAAGTCTACGTTTGGTTGCGTCCGTGCGGACAGAAATCAGTCTCACGCGGTGGCTGGTACGCGGGGGAATTTATGTGACCATTGTTCAACGTTCAACATAGAGACAAGTCCTGGTGGCCTCGAGGCGGTGTTGGCGTATGTATATTAACGCAGCAGTCAGATTCCATTCACGGGCAACATAGGAGACGGACAACACGATCTTCAGCAAAACATATGGATTCTCAGCATACTGTAATCTCAACGCCGCCACGACATCGACTTGGTCTCAGAGAGTCACGAAGGCATTTAAGGTGCATGACAAAGGCATTGACCAGCGCTCACAGCGGAGCACTAGGAGAACCGGCATAAGTTGGTTGATTGGGTTGATGTGGCGATGTCCCATGGCGTGGTGCGTACACTCTTCTGGATGATCGTATGTCCTCTGAAATAATCGATTCGTGGACCATCGATGCGTCTCGATATCTTCTGTCCTGCAGCAATAAAACGGTACGATGTGGGGTGTTTTGCACTTAAAGCCATGCGATCGACCAAGATGCGGTGCGAGCAGCTGGGAAACGCTGGTTTTTTCACAGGAAACTTTGCCAAGATCGGACCCATCTGGTGGATGAATGCAGGATTCGAAGCGTCATCAAGCAAGGACTGTTACATCAACCAAAGCCAAGGTCAACACTTCTTGGATCAACGCCAAAGTATCTGTTAGTTTCCTCTTGCTGACAGGCTTTCCGCTCAGTCTCGCCTAACGCATCGCCACACTGCGGGCATAGCGTTCATTTGATTAGCTTGGGGCTCCTTAAGCTTTGCGCTGTGGCCATCACCGTCAAGGTTCAATAAAGCGTTCCAGCTGCATTCGGTGCTTCTGAGTCTCACTGCAAGTCTCCCAATTCCTGAAGCATCCTCTCAAGCCATGATGAACAGAAATTTCCTCGTTCACGAACGTCTAACTGACGATGTATGATCTGCGCATATAGACGCAAGCCCGTCCCCCCAGCCCGTTTGCAGTCTCATCTACAAGTCGGGAGTATCAAGTTTGCTTCCTTTCGGGGCAAGTCTGGATCTGCAGTCAATTTCGAATTCCCCATCTCCGTCTCTGCGCATGTTCTGTCTAGTCTTGGTCGATGTCGCGATAGCGTTGACCTCATGGAGCCGGAGCTTCCAGGACGACTTATTGCGCCACAACAACCTTTACTTGAAATGTTGTCACCCGCAGCCTTGGGGTTTAGTCTCTGCTGGACCAACCATCTCAGGCTGACATGTTTTGTCTCCGAGCGTGCCTTTCGCCAAAGTCTAGGGATTCGTCAGCCTTGGTGTGATCGACGCTAACTCTAGATCTTCCCGTCGGAACGCCACGTTGGACTATAGCTCTGAGCAAGATGGCCTTGCTCGAACGCTATTGTGGAACAATCAATTCTGAACAGGAATGGTATGGAGTTCGAAGCTCGGAGGCACGACAGACTGTTCATTGGTAAATTCTATGTCGAACCCCTCGATCTGTCGCTATCAACGTACCAGATCCTGTTTCCGCTGAAAGGATTGAGGTGAACTGCTCTCTCTCTCAGCTGCGTTGGTAAGACAGACGATCAGCAGAGGCGGGAATACACGAGAACTGGTACACGTCGCACGGTGCCACCACGCCCAGGCACCGGATCACTGCCCATAATGGAGTTCTCAAGTGTACCACTCCCGTTTTCACCGGCCAGGCCCTGTAGAGCTTCTCTCGAAGCCGCAGTAAATGCTCATGAAGCTCAGAGCGTGTGAACACGCGTACAAGTGGGTTGAAGAGCCCATGTCAGATAAGAAGAGATATGGTGAAGCATACGAGGCCGCCGACGTGCGATTGCGCGCCGCGAAGCAGGTGTGTGAAGCCACTCGAAACGATGCTCCTCGGGGTGATGTCATTTCAAACGCAGAAGACTGATCTCGCAGCCGTCGCCCGAACGTTCACCCGTTTCAACTCCCGCAGGACCTCCGACACAGTGCGCTGGACACTGTGGAGGTTTGAGGCATGCTCGCATACTGCCATGCCAGTCGAAGAGGCTCTCGGCGAAGTGGTGAGTCGGAGCACTGGAGGGGGGGCGAACGCGCATGCCCGGGAGAAGGACCGAGATAGGCGGGTGCAATCTGCGCGACGTGTTCCGAGCACGTGCGATGGAGCCAGCAGCGGCCCTGGGGGACATACAAGCTGCGCGCAGCAGCCTGCAGCCTCATCAGGGCCCCTTCGTCTTCCGCAGCTGCCAGGTTTTCTCTCCCTGTCCTCTTCCCGACGGTCGCAGCGACAAGACTCGCGGTGGTATCGACCTTCTTGACGTCACCGATCGACACAAGCGCGCCTTGCCTTATATAGCAAGCGATTGCGCGCGCAATGTCCTCCAGCGCCGGCCACGAGCGCGACACGGCCGATCCCACCTCCCTTGCGCCGCCTCAGCCCATCCAGGACACCGAGAATTCGCAAGTGGACGTCGGGCGCCCTGATTCGCACTACGCCGAGTCTGCGACGAACACCAACGCACCGTATATACCCAACTCATCGGCGTCAGGCATCCTTCCCGATCCGTCGATTGCATCGACACCACGTGTCGCCTCGTCCTACGGCACGCCCACGGCGACACCGAACGAGGCCTCCTCTGATGCACTCGGAGGGACCGCAGCAGCCGCCACGACTGCTGCTGCCACAAAAGAGGCTACGGACGTTCCTGGGTCAAAAGAAGCGCTGGCGCACCCCGGCGCAGCACACCCGGCTAGACGACCGTGGTACAAGCGGCCGGTCTTCTGGCTGCTGGCGTTCATCGTGTTGGCGGTTGTGGTGCTTGTTGTAGTATTGCCGGTGTGGTTCGTGGGCGTCAAGGGACACAAGCACACTGGCAGCAGCTCTTCCGCGTCTAGTGGAGGTGGCACTACGCCTAAGTCGACGGTGACTACAACTGGCGGGAATGGCAGTACGGTCACGACTGATGATGGTTCAACGTTCACCTACATCAATGATTTTGGCGGTTTCTGTAAGCTCACCTGTTGTCGGATGGCGTGGCTGTACTGATCTCGCGTGCAGGGGTGTCCGACCCGACCAACCCATTTAACAACTCTGCTCAGCCAAATTCATGGACGCCGCCGCTCTCGGAGTCATGGAACTGGAGCAAGGACCGTATCTACGGCGTGAACCTGGGCGGGCTGTTCGAGCTGGAACCGTTCATCAGTCCGAAACTGTACCAGGCGAATCCAGGTAGCTTGGACGAGTGGACGCTTGACCTCTTGCTGCGCGCAAACGGCAGTAACGGTGGCGAGCTGGGCAAGGAGGAGTATGGGTTGCAGGATGTGATGGAGCTGCACTACAACGAGTTCGTCACCGAGCAGGACATCGCGGAGATTGCGGGTGGGTGCAATGCGCCTTCGTACTTGAGTGATCCCCACTAATCTGTACGCCCTCTTTTGCTGCCCCGTCCTTCTGTTCGGCACCTCTCCAGGTGCTGGCTTGAACTGGATCCGTGTTCCTATTCCGTTTTGGGCCATCGAGAGCTGGAGCAATGTGGGCGTGGCGAACGGGACGACGGTCAGCGAGCCATTCCTGGCGAAGACCTGCTGGCCATACATCCTTCGCCTCTTCGGATGGGCTCGCAAGTACGGATTGCGCATCAATCTTGATCTGCACACGATCCCGGGCTCGCAAAACGGTATGCATCTGGGTGTTCTGGCATTAGTGGAGTTATAATTCTGATTGAATCAGGCTACAATCATTCGGGCAAGTACGGGATAGTCAACTTCTTGAATGGTGTGATGGGTGTGGCCAACGCAGAGCGTGCTCTTGAATACATCAGGGTCATCACTGAGTTCATCACGCAGGTGGGTGTTCTATTCTCCAGCCGTCTCATATTTCAGTGGCTGATTGATTAACTTCATGTTCTATTCATTCGTCAACGCTTACCTGAACGCCCGTCCTTGCACTGTATGTATCGCATGGATTGAACTTATGTCCGCTTATGCGCTGCAGGAAGAGTACCAGCCGCTGATCCCGATGTTTGGCATCGTGAACGAACCATTACTGGCAACTATCACATTGGACACTCTCACTACTTTGTATGGCATTCATGTTCAAGGCGGATCCCTGGCGCTGACAGAATCTGACGCAGCTACTTGCAAGCATACTGGGTGATGCGCAACATCACTGGAGTAGGTGAAGGCAACGGACCATACATATCTATCCACGACGGCTTCATGGGCACGGACTACTGGGCGGGCTTCCTCGCGGGCTCGGACAGGATTTCTCTCGGTGCGTACCTCCTTCTCCCGCGACGGCGTGCCCTTGTGGCGCAAGCTGACGTGTCCATCGCACCTTGCTTCTCACATCTGTATGCGGCCTCCTACGCGTTGC